TCACCCGCTATGCCACAGTGCCGGCCCCTTGGATATATCAATTGTTAGGCAAGGGACATTTGCTTCTATTAGCTGAGATTGTTTTAAAACACCATGAATGGATGTTGCATTTTGTGGATGATTTTTCTGTGTATGTCATGGTCCTCCTATGTTTTTTCTTATTTATTTATTTTTTTTTTGTCAATATGGGGGCTCAACACTAGCCCTGAGAGGAACTGTGCCTGTGTGCGGTGTTACCTGGTCATCCTTTGCCCATTTTATTTATCTGTTTAAAAGGCAAATTGACAGAAACCGAGATCTTTCATCAGCTGGTTCACTCCCTAAATTCCACCATAGCCAGGAGCCAGGAGCACCATCCTGGTCCCTCTTACCTGGCACAGTGACGTAGCAAGTAAAGCCACCGCCCACAGTGCCAGCATCCCATGTGGGTGCCAGTTCGAGTCCCGGCTGCTCCTCTTCTGATCCAGCTCTCTGCTATAGCCTGGGAAAGCAGTGGAGGATGGCCTAAGTCCTTGGGCCCCTGCACCCACGTGGGAGACCCAGAAGAGACTCCTGGCTCCTGATCGGCACAGCTGCAGCCATTGTGGCCATCTGGGGATTGAACCAGCGGATGGGAGACCTCTCTTTCTCTCTTCCTCTGCCTCTCTGTAATTCTGCCTTTCGAATAAACAAAAATAAATCTTAAAAAAAAAAAAAAGATGACAGTTGCTGGTGAGGATGTGGAAAATCTGGCTTCATGGAAAATTGCTTGCTGGTATGTAAAATAGTACAGCCACTTGGGAAAACAGCTTGGCATCTTTACTTGATGCTAAACACAGAATTACTGTATGATCCAATAATTCTATTGTAGGTTTCTACCCAAGAAAAGTGAAACCACAGGTCCACAGGAAAACGTGGATGTTCATAGCAACATTATTCACAGTAACCTAAAAATTGAAACAATTGCACTGTTTATCAGCTAAATAGTGGATAAACAAAGTGCTATAGGAATACACAGTGGAATATCATTAAAGAACTGACAGTAGGCCACAATACCCATGAACCTTGAGGACAAGCGTGGAGAAGAAAAGCTGGGAAAGAAAGCCAAGCTTCCGGTGTGTGTGGGCTATCAGAGGGCCTGGCTGGAGTCCTGGCTTTTCAATAAATTACCCTGGAAAAAAGGACAGGAGAGGAGGAGAGTGGACGGAGAGGGGGGACGGAAGCAGAGGGAGCCCAGCACAGCTAAGTGGAAGAAGGTGGCCCGGGAGACCACCTGCCGCAGGACTGCACCGACAGGAAGCGCGAGTGATGTCCAGGACAGGCGAATCCAGAGCCAGACAGCACGTGGCAGCTGCCGACGGCACCACTTTTCTCTGCTTTTTAAAAATCTGATTTAAGTTATACAAGTTTCCTGTATTTGATATATGCAGATTTAGTAACACAGTGGCCCTTCCCCCCGCCCACGCTCCAGCCCTTCTCCCTTCTGCCTCTTGGATGCCCACTCTTAATTATTACAAAGATCTCTTTTCAGCTTGCTTAATGATCATATGGTTAACCCTACTCTAAGTAAAAGAGCTCAACAAATAGCATGAAGAGAGAGAGAAAAAAAAAACACTGTTCCTCCATGAAAGAGACAAGGGCTGTAAACAATCCTCTAATCTCAGAATGTCCATTACACTCCAATACTTTATATTTCAGGTATTCTATTAGTTACCTCGGATGGGGGAAAACAGGATATGTTTTTGGGACTGGCTTATTTCACTAAGTATATGGTTTCCAGTTGCGACCACCTTGTTGCAAAAGACAGGATTACTCCTTGGTGTGTATATCCCATAATTTCTTTATCCACTCTTCAGCTGATGGACATCTGGGTTGATTCCCTGTCTTAGCTACTGTGAATTGTGCTGTAGTAAACATGGAGGTACAGATCACTCTTGTACATGCTGGTTTCATTTCCCTTGAGTAAATGCCCAGGAGTGGGATGGCTGGGTCGCGTGGTAGGTCTCTATTCAGATGTCTGAGGGATCTCCACTCTGTCTTCCACAGTGGCTGGACCAGTGTACGTTCGCGCCAACAGTGGGTTGGAGGACCTTTTCCCCCACAGCCTCACCAGCACTTGTCATCTGTTGATTTCGGTAGGAGAGCCGCTCTTACAGGAGTGAGGTGGAACCTCTGTGTGGTTGTGATTTGCATTTCCCAGATAGCTGGTTGATCCTGAGCGTTTCTGGAGAGTCTCACTTTTTTCTTCTGCCATCTCGTTAGTGTGAGAGGCTAGATGGGAGTTGGGCTTTAAGTTTTGTTGTTGCCATGGATACTTTCAGAGTTGCACCGTCTTCCCTTCCTGTCTGGCTATAGGTCTGGGCTTTGTGCTACTCCCCACAGCCGTATTCCACGTCATTTCTGCTTTGTACTTTCGGCGTGCGGGGGTAGGGGAGGGGACGGGACTTGCTCTGATGGTCTGGCTTCAGGACGTGGCCTTTGCCGGCATTCCTGCCTCTTCCTGGAGGTAGTGGTGGACTCTGCACAGGGCCTAGGGCAAATACTCGCCCCGCCCCCACGGGAAGCAGCTTTTCTCTTTTTCCTGTTCTTGTCCCATCAGCAGCGGGGGCTTCCCCAGTCACCTGAGAGATTCTTGACCCTCCACACAGGGGACACGGGGGCTGGGCTTCTGCTGCTTACAGCCCAGGCCGGGAGGGGCTTTCTGGGCTCCTTATGACTACCCTGGGGGGCTCCCGGGCTGACATCTGGGGTCCAGTTTCTCCCTGCAGTGCCTCCCTTCTCCAGTCTGCAGGCCAGAACCTCTGTTCTCTGGTGGTCTCCAGCCCAGTCGCAGGAAGCTTCTTCCTCCTGTAGAGAGCGGAAGTTCTCTTACAGTCTGCTCTTGTTCGATGGAAGGGCAGTGGTTTCTTTGGATGCATATAAGCTCTCACCTTTTTTATTTTATTAAAAATATATTTATTCAAAAGGCAGAGTTACAGGGTTGGGGTCAGGGGAGGCAGAGAGAGGGAGGGAGAGAGACAGAGCTTCCATCTGCTGGTTCACTCCCCAGATGGCTGGAGCTGGGTTGGTGCAAAGCTTCCGGGTCTCCCACGTGGGTGCAGGGCTCAAGGACCTGGGCCATCCTCCACTGCTTTCCCAGGCACAGGCAGCCAGATTGAAGTGGAGCAGCCGGGACTTCAACCAGCGCCGATGCAGCAAGCAGCAGCTTAAGCTAACTGGCGCCAAGCCCTTAACTGTGATGAAGCCAGATTTGCCAGTCGTTTTCTTTGTTGTTTGGTAAATGCATGTGAACTGCTCCCTTCTGTAGATGCACAATCATTACAGATCAGACCGTGCCGGATCAGACTGTGTAAGGCTGGAATCATGTGATCTTGGATTTAGTCAGGGAGTTTCTTTGTAAGGAAAGTATTAATTACCTAGTCAATTCCTTGTTGAGTATAGGACATATTATTCTTTCCATTTCTTCTTGAGTCATCCTGGTGTGTTGCTTTTTTTTTTTCTTAAGCAAGGAATTTGTCCATCCCGCCTTGAAATTGATAAGCACTTGCCTGTGATGGCAAATGCCTGTTTTATACCTCCTATTGTTTTATGCCTTGAACCTTCCCCTTTTTGATCATCCTCATCAAAGTCTTTAATATTTTATTAGCCTTTTCTAAAACCCGGTTCTTCACACTCTGGCATTTGCTTGTTGTGTTCGGTTTCTGTGACTCTCACTTCTGACTTTATTGTCCTCATGTCATGCCTCCTGTTTTTCCTTAGGCTTATTTTGCAGCTCTCCATCATCAAGTTGAAAGCCTGGGCAGGTCCTCAAGAAGCCGAGGTGCGACTCTGGTTGACACCAGCACGGCCCCACCTGCCCCTGCCCCCACCTCTCCCTCACCCAGAAGGGGCTCCCGTGAGCAGCCAGCTCACGGGATTTGGGGCCAAATGCTGGTACCTGTGAGAGGGGACTGCTATGGGCTGCTAACACCATTTAGGGGAGCACCTAGGGGCTAGTGTAGGACAGCTGTCTGGCTGGGAACGTCGAAGGTGACTACCCCGAGGTGGGGTCCTCCCAGTAACTCCTAGGTGGTGGCTGCTGAGTTTGGAATGGTGGTCAGGACCGTGGACCTCCTGGGGGGGGAGGGGGATGCGCAGAACTGCCGGGGTAGATCTGCAGAAGGTTCTGGATGACAGCACAGCTTGTGGCTTCCCTGTCCCCTCATGACTGCCCCGTGGGCCGTGGTGGTGGGAGACGGCGAAAGCAGCTGCAGCCCAGTACTGGATCTGAGGGCTCTCCCTGCACCGTGCTCCAGCTGAGGCTTCCTTCCCCATGTGGGGGTCCACGGGGCGTGGTGCTCAGCTGATGGAATGTGCGTGTCTCCCCACAAACCCCCAGGAGTGCCTGGCTGGCCAAGCTGTTGTGCCCCGCCCTGGCGCATGTCTCTCCGGGCACCCGGAGCTCCCAGACCATCAGTGATTCTGCCTGCTCGCCCAGGCACGCGTGGGCTTCTGCACCTGAGCCTGCGTGTCCTGCAGGCCTGCTCGCCTGTGCGTCCCCAGGCCTGAGCCCGAGCCTGCCACCTGCCGGGCCCAGTGGAGCCAAAGGTCTTCCTGCAGCACGGCCCGCAGGGGTCTTTAGGCCACGGCCATGGCGTGTGGGACTTCCCTCGATCGCCGATGTCTCCTTGTAGAATCTAGAGGGTGACTTGTGGGGTAACAGAGGCTGCACTCAGACCAGGGCAGGGTGATGTCTTCCCTGGGCGTGAGCCTGGGGGCTGGGGCGCAGAGGCAGGCATGTGGGCCGATCACTGGGTGTGGGTGTGCATGGGGCCTGTGGCGCAGCCAGGCTGTGCTGTCCTCCCGGGCAGGACTTCCCTGGGCTTCCTCTGTTCTCTTTCTGCCGCCCCCCTTGGATGTTTCTTGGACCCTGGTAAAGTCAGGATGCGTCTAGGGCAGGGAGCTGGGTCTCTCGGGCCCAAGGGAGGAGCAGGACCTACAGCCAACACCTTAACCTGATTCTGTGTTGTGTCTGTCAACAGGTCCCCAGCCCGGCCCAACCCCCATGGCCACTTCAACATCTACCAGGCCTGCCCCAGCCTCAGCCCCAGCCCCCAAAAGCTCCGTGGCGGCTTCGGTCCCGGCCGAGCAGAACACTACACCCATGACGACGAAAGCCCCAGCCACCCAGAGCCCCTCTGCATCCCCTGGAAGCTCCGTGGAGAACTCAGCCCCGGCCCAGGGCTCGACCACAACACAGCAGAGCCTGAGTGTTACTACTAAGGCTGAAGCTAAGGATGCAGGTGGCGTCCCCACGGCACACGTCACCGGCTCTGCTCGGCCTGTCACCAGTGGCAGCCAGGTCGCAGCTCAGGACCCAGCTGCATCCAAAGCTCCGAGCAACCACAGCATCACCACAAAGCCTCTGGCCACAGAGGCCACGAGCCAGGCCCCCCGTCAGACCACAGATGTCGGCACCCCGGGACCCACTGCTCCTCCTGTGACCAACTCGACCAGCCCTGACCTGCTGGGCCATGCCACCCCGAAGCCCTCCGAGGGGCCCCAGCTCAGTTTCCCCACGGCTGCTGGCAGCCTGGGCCCTGTCACTGGCTCTGGCACCGGCTCTGGCACCCTCTCCACACCCCAGGGGAAGCCTGCGACACTGAGTGAGTGTGACTGCTTGGTTTTCCTTTTATTTTCAGGGAAGAATAAACTTTTCAGTGCTTATATGAGGGGCCTTCAAAACGTTTGTGGAAAATGCAAATTGTGACAAAATTCTGCATGAATTTCTCAGTTCTTCTACTGAAATAAACAGCTCCTTCAGCTCCTTTTTCATTTATTTTTATTTGAGAGGCAGGGAGAGAGAGAGAGAGAGAAAATCTTCCATCTTCCATCTGCTGGTTCTCTCCAAATTCCTGTAACATCCAGGGCTGGGCCAGGCCAAAGCTGGGAGCCTGGTCTCCCATGTAGGTGCAGGGGCCCAAGCACTCGTGCCATCCTCCATTCTTTCCCAGGTGCATTGACAAGGAGCTGGATTGGAAGTGGAACAGCCGGGACTCAAACTGGCACCCATAAGGGATGCTGGCGCTGCAGGCGATGGCTATACCCGCTATACCTCAGTGCCAGCCCCTAATTCAGTTTTTTTTTCTTAAATAGGGAAGCTTCTCAATTACTTTTTTTTTTTTTTTTTAAGATTTATTTATTTTATTTGAAAGGCAGAGTTACAAAGAGGCTGAGGCGGGGCTGGGGAGAGGTCTTCCATCTGCTGGTTCACTTCCCGGATGGCCGCAATGGCCAGAGCTACGCTGATCCGAAGCCAAGAGCTTCCTCCGGGTCTCCCCTGCAGGTGCAGGGGCCCAGGGACTTGGGCTGTCTTCTGCTTTCCCAGGCCACAGCAGAGAGCTGGATTGGAAGTGTGCAGCCGGGACTCAAACTGGTGCCGATATGGGCCCTACCCGCCACATCACAGCGCCGGCCCCCCTAATTCAGTTTTTCAGGAACTTTTTGAAGCCCCTTGTGTCCCATACAGGTGCTCAGCTGGCAGGCAGAGTAAATTCATGCTGAGAGTTAAACACAGTTCCTTCAGAATCGGCTTCCCATGTGAGTGATGAGCGCAGGCCAGCAGAGCTGAGCGCGCAGGTGGAGCTCAGTGCTCCGCCTGCCCCGGCCAGCGCCTCAGCCACACGGGAGACTGCGTGCCCACGGCAGGGTGTTGGTTGCACTCTAGAAAGGACAGTGCATCTCCCACTGTCCCACGACAACTCACAGTAAGAAACACATTTTAGGGGTCGGTATTGTGGTGCCGTGGGTTAAGCTGCTGCCTGGGACGTCAGCCTGTGAGCGCTGGTTCAAGTTCTAGCTGCTGCACTTCTGATCCAGCTCCCTGTTCATGCACTTGGGAAAGCAGAGGAAGATGCAAGTGCTTGGGCCCCTGCACCCATGTGGGAGCCCAGGTGGAGCTCCGGACTCCCAGCTTCAGCCTGGCCCTGAATTGGCCTTTGTGACCATTTGGGGAATAAACCAGAGGGTGGAAGATTCTCTCTCTCTCTCTCTCTCTCTCTCTCTCTGTTGCTCTGCCTTGCAAATAAATAAACCTTTAAAAAATAAGTAAATACATATTTAGGAAACAAGAAACACACTTTACTTTTACATCATGATCCGGAACACATACACCTAACACACACATGAATTGATTCGGAAGTTTCACTAAATAAGAGTTCAGCTTTCTATTATACATCCTGATATTGTCTACTGTATTCCATTTCCTATTATTTAGTTTTTTAAAAAAAAATGTATTTGAAAGGCAGAGTGACAGAAGGGGAGGGGGAGGGGGCAGGGGCCAGGAAGGATGGTCCTCCAACCTCTGGTTCACTCCCCAGATGGCCACAGCAGTTGGGGCAGGAGACTGGAACTCCATCCAGGTCTCCTGCATGGGTGCAGGGCCCCAAGTCCGTGGGTCACCTTCCACTGCTCTCCCAGGCACATTAGTAGGGAGCTGAATTAGAAGTGGAGCAGCCAGGACTCCAACTGGTGTATATGGGATGCCGCTGTTGCAGGCGGTGGCTTAGCCTGCCACGCCACAATGCCAGCCCCTCGGTTTTTCAAGTGATAATCTTAGTCTGGAAAATTAACTTCAGAATCTACAGATGGGCCATGCACCTCCAGACCCTGACCCGTCCAGATCTGTCGAAGCGGAACTCCTGGCCGTGAACCTGGGAGCCTGCATTCCTGGGAGCTCCAGGGTGCTGGGTGCACACTGGGGGTCACGGTGGCCGTGTGCTGCAGTGAGAGTGCCCTGAGCCGGGTGCGCCTGGGTCCAAGTCTCTGCCACCCTTCGGCGTGTGGCCTTGGGCAGATCACGAGGCTCAGTCTCCCCACTTACAGAACAGGGTGACGACGGGACCTCCCCCAGAGTGCGGGTGTGAGGTTCTATAAGGGCAGCATTGCTGTAGCGTCAACTCCCGTGGCTGGTTCTTTGGCTCGTCCCAGCCCCCTGTCGACTGTCACAGGGCTCCACGTCATCCCCCTGCCTCCCTCCCCAGAGCCTGCTGGCTCCAGCTTGGTGGCGGCTGAGACCAAACACCCCGAGAAAGCCGCCTGTGCAGGGCACTGCTTCCTGTGGTTGACTGTTGTGTTCCCGATTGCAGCGCCCGTGGCCAGCTCAGCAGAGACTCAAGGGATGCCCAGCCCGATGCCACCCAGCCCAGCCTCCCCCTCCTCCTCCCCCTTTCCCTCCTCTCCCTCCCCCTCCCCCGCACTGCAGCCCTCGGGCCCCTCGGCGGCAGGAACAGAGGACACAACCGGCAGGGGCCCCACAAGCTCCAGCACTGAGTTGGCTTCAACTGCCCTGCACGGCCCCAGCACGCTTTCCCCCACCTCGGCAGTGAGAGACCAGAGGGTGAGTCCCGGGCCCAGGCAGGAGGGCGGTTCTAGTCCTCCTTCACCCGGAACCCTGGCTTGGGGCTATTGGGAGCCATCTGCTTTCACCGCCTTTGCCTGGCATGGCCCGATGCTGCCTCACACGGCTGGGCAGTGGGGGCCATGCCCGGCTCCGAGCCTGGTCCAGCGGTGCCCAGCTTGCCACGAGCTGCTCCTCCCTTCCACCCAGGGGCGGGCAGGGTCGGAGAGCCCCTGGCTGTGGGCCTCGACCTGTTCTACCGGCCTCTTCCAGGTAAGCTGCGGGCCTCCGGAGAGACCAACCGAGCAGCTGCTCATCCTGAACCTCACCAGAAGCAGCCCCTGCGTGAGTACCTGGCCCCCCAGAGCCCCAGGACCCCGCCCCAGGCTGGCAGCCAGCCAGCATCCAGGTGGGGAAGGTGGAGGAATGAGGCGGTGAGCGGTACCTCCCCACTCCAAGTTGTTTTTTTTTGTTTGTTTGTTTGTTTGTTTGTTTTTTTTTTTTTTTTTTTAAAGATACATGTATTTCAAAGGCAGAGTCAGGGAGAAGGAGAGACAGAGATCTCCATGCACTCGGTCAGTCCCCAAATGGGAGCAACAGCTAGGGCTGGGCCAGCAACTTGGAACTCCACCTGGGTGGGTGGGTGCAGGGGCCCAAGCACTTGGACCATCGTTTTCAGCTTTCCCAGGTGCATTAGCAGGGAGCAGCTGGGACTCGAGACAGCACTGGAGCTGCAGGCTGCAGCTTAGCCCGCTGTGCCCCAGCGCCACACCCGCCCCCCAGTCTGAACAGAGCAAGCAGTCGGGACAAGGCAGGGTCAGGGAAAGGAGCCGGGTCTTCCTGACTCCGGGAGCTGGAAGGCTCTGGACCTGGTCCCTTCTGCCTCTGTCTCTGGGCTTCGGAGACTCACCTCACAGTGACAGGTGTGGTCAGCCCAACTCCTGCTCTTCTGATTGGGTTCATGCTTCCTAGTCTCACTGAGGGAACAGAGTGGGCAGCTCTCCCCTGACCTGGGGAGCTAGGGAGCTGGCTGGGAGCTAGGAAGACCCCAGAACTACGGGCCCCTGGACGCAAAGCAGCCAGGCCCTGCGGTGAGGACGCCCCAGCGGAGAGAGGCTGTGGTAGCTGCAGTCCTTTGGCTGTTGGGGCCTGGGGGTGCCGGTGCTGCCGGCTCGCTGCTGCCCTCTCCTGGTGAGTGTGTGTCTGCAGCCACCCCTGGTCGCGTAGCCCACGAAGTGAAGTTGCACCCCAAGGCTAGAGGGGTCTTGTTTCCGGCAGATCTTTTCCTTCTGTGTAGCCAGTCTGCAAGTGACCGTTGTAGCCGCCCGCTGCTGGGGCTGGGATGACTGCACAAGGCACGGACTGCCCCGAGCTTGGCCGTGGATTCCCTCCTAAGGCAGGATGGGGCGTTAGTAAGCCCGAGGGATTCCAGGGGCTGTTTGGGGGGGCGGGTGTCCTCAGGGAAGCCGTGCCCCACGTTCCAAAGTCAGGTCAGAGAAACAGCGGCGAGCAGGCAGCACTGGAGCCGCCTCAGCTGGTTCCTCCTGCACGGGCAGCTGGGTGACCCCTGCTTTGCCCTATGCCGCCTCCTGTCCCCAGCCCGCTCCTGGCTTCAGAGCAGGACCTTAGCCGGGGAGGAGCATGCGCATTGCAGCTCGCAGAGTACCTGTCGGAGAGGCCGGCCAGGCTGGCCAAGGGCAGGCTCCGCACGAGGTGGCGCCCCCTTGCGGGGAGAGGCAGGCGCCCATTCACGATCCCTAAAGGACCATAACCACGGTGAACAGCGAAGGGGTCAGCAGACAGGAATGAGGCAGACACAAGCAAACACTGACTCGGTAGAACAGCACATGGCTCTTTTAACTTTTTAAAAAAGATTTATTTATTTGATGAGTAGAGTTATAGAGAGGGGCAGACAGAGGTCTTCCATCCATGGTTCAATCCCCAAATGGCTACAATAGCTTGGGCTGGTCCAGGCCAAAGCCAGGAACTTCACCCAGGTCTCCCACGTGGGTGCAGGGTCCCAAGCACTCGGGCCATCTTTTGCTACTTTCCCAGGCACATGAGCAGAGAGCTGGACAGGAAGTGGAACAGCTGGGACCAAACTGGCGCCCATATGGGATGCCGGTGTTGCAGGCAGCAGCGGCTCAACCCACTGGGCCCTGGCACCATACTCGTGACTGGGAATGGCACCAGGAGGGCTGGGGTAGTGACCGGGCTCAAGCCCCGGGAGCCCCGGCTGCTGCCACAAGGACTCACCGGTGGTCTCCCCACAACAGACAGACAGCCTTCCGGAAGACAAACTGGTCACCCTGCTGTGCCGAGCGGCCAAGCCCACCTTCAACCCCGCCCAGGACCAGTGCCACGTGCTGCTGGCGCCCATGCTGGGGAGCCACGCGGTGGTGGTCAAAGAAATCACCATCAAGAGTGAGTTGAGGGCAAGGGGCGCCGAGGCCCCTGCTGTGGGAGGGGGGCGGGTGGGGGGAGTTCCACTCCGCTTCCGGCCCACCCAGTGAGCCGCGCAGGCTCTGAGCTGGATGCTGAGGCAGCCCCTCTCGCCCCTCCCACAGCGAATCTGCTGCCCACGGCCGTGTTCGAGCTGCTGAAGGACAGATGGGATGACCTGAGAGAGGTACAGGGCTGCCCCTGTGGGCTGGGACCCCCGTGTGGCCTCTCTCTCGTGGAGGAGCCTAGGCTGAGCAAACCCAGAGAGGGCACGGCGGCCCCGGGCCTGACGGCTGCCCTTGTCCTTCCCGGCCAGGAGGGCGTCAGCGACATGCAGCTGGGGGACCAGGGGCCCCCGGAGGAGACCGAGGACCGCTTCAGCCTGCCGCTCATCATCACCATCGTCTGCATGGCCTCCTTCCTGCTGCTTGTCGCGGCCCTCTACGGCTGCTGCCACCAGCGCCTCTCCCATAGGAAGGACCAGGTGGGCGCCTCTTCCTCCCCGTACCGCAGCAAAGCAGAGGGGGCCGGCAGACTGCCCCGGTACCTGTGGGAGCAGGAGTCAGCCTCACCTGCGTGGGCCTTGCTGTGGATGGACCCACGCGTGCCCGGCTCTCCCAAACCCCTTCCTGGATTGCCCGTGGTTACACTTCCAGCCGGGCCCTGGGCGCTGCAGAGGGGGCAGCCGGCTCCCGGTGCCCAGCGTCCTCACGGACCCTCGGACAGGCCCTCTGTTCTCGGGGAGGGAGCAGGCACGGCTGCCAGGTGTCCGTGGGGACCCCGTGGCCACCTTGCCCAGGCTGGGGGGTCGTCTCTACAGTCCTGCCGGTTCACGCTGATGGATGGGCGCCTGGAGGGGGTGGGGGGAGGGGATCAGAGACAGAGCCTGGAGGGCTGGCCTTTGGACGAGGCCCCCACCTGTGAGCGCTGAGTGCGCAGCTCAGCCAGTCCCTGGGTTGCCAGGGCACCTGTATTCCAAAATCCCCTCCAAATCTGCTCTTTCCCCGCTCCAGCAACGACTCACGGAGGAGCTGCAGACCGTGGAGAACGGTTACCATGACAACCCGACCCTAGAAGTGATGGAGACGTCGGCCGAGATGCAGGAGAAGAAGGTGGTCAACCTTAACGGGGAGCTGGGGGACAGCTGGATTGTCCCGCTGGACAACCTGACCAAGGACGACCTGGACGAGGAGGAAGACACGCACCTCTAACGGGTCTGCCGCCGCCCGCCCCCACCACTGCTCACTGACCACCTCAAGTGCCGCTGGACCGGGGAGGACGTCCCCTTCCGGCTCCAGGAGAGGACTGGGGGAGCGCGGCTCCCAGGGCCGCCCCCTCCCAGCGCCCCCAGGGCCTTGCCTCTCCCTTCTCAAGCTGAACACGTCACAGCCCATGCAGATCCCTCCTGTAAGATAACCCACGAGTGCCTGAGCGCAGTGCTGCTGGCAGGGGCCAGGCAGGCTCAGGGCGAAGCAGCGGACCTCCATTCCCCTACTCACAGGCCCCGCCCTTCTGTCCCATGCTCCTGTGCACCCATCTACACCGTGGTGCTCACTTGCGCCCTCTCCTGGGCACAGGGTGAAACTGCAGTTGGTGGGTGGGCTGGAATGGAGAGCAGGCCCAGACCTGGTTGGAGGTCTCCGTGGGGTCCGATGACTCGGAAGGACAGGTCCCCAGTTCTCATCTCTTTTCCCCGCCTCGCCTGCCAGCAGTTCTTCCTTCTCCCCTTTTTTCCACTTGGTCCCAGGGCCCCTGGGGGTTTGCACAGGTCATTTCCGGACCTTGGACCTCTTGTTCTGCATTCTGATTTCCTTACATTTGCTTAACGGAATTGGGACTTAGCCCAGACGGGCCTCTCAGTGTGAGCGAGTTCTGCCTACGGGGTCCAGAGGGGAGCCCTGCACCCACACTGGTCGGTCACCCCCGGCTCTCCAGGGAGAGGCTCCCCAAGCTCTCCTTTGGTCTTCCAACCTCCCCCCTCCCAGGGACTAAAAGCTGCAGTAGCAAAGTGTTCCTCTGGTTCAGTTCACTGACCAGGGTGAATCCCAGAGCCCCAGCAGGGAGGGGCAGGACAGGCCCCGCCCAGACGTGTCTTACCGGACAATCCCCTGGAACAGCCAGGAAGACAGGCATGACTCTCCACTGCATAGAGAACTCAGGGACTTCTCAAGTTGCTGAGGGTTTTGTTCTGTTTGCATGCACGTTTGTTTTCTAACCCAGCCCTCCACTGCCAAAGGCCAAAGCTCAAATGACTGGGGACTCAGTTAATCCAGGCCTGGTTCTCCTGTGGCCTCACAGGAAGGCAGGCCCAGGATACGCAGTGCACGCTAAGGTGTGTAACTCACCGTGCTGTTTGTCTTCTCCGTAACCCACTGGGGCTACTGGGGGCATCTCAGGGAAGCACAAAGCCATGTCCGTTCCCCAACATGGGAGGCCTGTGTGTGGGCTCAGCAGCCAGCTGGCGGGTAGAAGGCAGAGTGAGGTTTAAGCTGATCTGAGAAGGGGGAATCCTGCCTAGAATCTGGAACTTATGGCCTTTATTGTTCTGGGCATGAGTCACCTGGAACCCAATAGGAAAATGGCAGAACTGTTTAGGGGAACGAAAATCGTCATTTCAGGGCTAAAATCCACGCACTTCTCCAGGGTCCTAGAGGCAGAGCCAGGCTGCACTGGTTAGAATGAATCAGGCTTTCTGCTTTGGCCCAGGCTGTTTTTAAAAGGGGGTGGGGCTCAGGGAAGAGCCTTCCCTGGCCGCCAGATTGCTCCCTGATGCAGGCTGTAGCCATTTCCTATCCTAGAGGAAGAGAAAGGTCAGAGTCAAGGGTGGCCGCTCCAGTTTCCCGAGAGTTGGGGGAATGCTAGGCCCGAGCGTCCCCAAGGATCCGCCCTGACTCTCTAGCAGCTGGAGGTGTGGGCTGGGCAACTGTGAAACATTATGCTGGAGCACGGTCTCGGCTTCTGCACCTGCCCCTGGGGGAGAGGCCGGACTGGATCATTTCTCCTGTGCTGGTTCGGGGTCATGTTCCCCAGCCAGGGCATTCGACAAAGGCAGCAAGTATGCCTGGGCTGCAGCTCTGAGAGATGACTGGCAGGGACTAGAGAGCAGGACGCTGGCCTGGTGAGAAGAATGGCCGTGCAGTGTCCATGGAGAGCCTGGGACAGCTTTCCCAGGACTGCCACTGGGGCTCCTGCCTTTCAGGCGTCTTCAGAATCCGGTATGGTACCTTGGCTTTCTCCTGCCAGTAGGACCAGGCCACGTTACCATGCCTCTGTGGAGGTCATTTTCTTTCCCTGTCTTTTCTGGATTCTAAATGCTGTCCGATCGCTGAGATTCTGGGGCTGAGACGAGGTGAGAGGAACGCCAGGTGCTCAGCAGGACTGTATGCAAGTTGTACCAAAGAGAGCTTAGGAACTGTTTCTTTCAGGGACAAGCGGGGGGTCTGCTGGGCAGCCTGGGCGGTGCTGACGGAGGAGGTGCAGAGCATGGCACGGGCCTGATCCAGTCCAGGCACCAGGCTGGCCCCTGTCTGGAGGAGAGCTAGCAGAGAGCGTCAACACTTCTTGGGCTTTCTCTTTGACAATATACTGGAGAAACTTACATATGTTATTTTTTTTTGGTTATGTAAATACAGTGGCCACGTGTTAATCTATCTTGCACTGCTTTAAGTGAATATACTTTGAAAAAAAAAAAAAACGTGTTAGCTAGGAGAGATGGCTAAGCTCTTTCTCTGAACACGAATGTAAATGTCTATCCTACTAGAAATGAAAACTGTGTGTTTTTTTTAAATGTTACGTAACAAGACAAGTTGGTGACAAAGTATTTGTCTTGTAGATCGGGCATTTTTATTTTAAAATGTGACCCTGGCTGGAGTCAGCTCGCAATGGCTGGACTGTGATGCTCTAGTGGGAGGTCTAGTCCAATCTTTTCCCGACTCTGAAGCCCGCAGCGACATGCTAAACTCCCAGGGTTATTTAGACAGGATTGGGAGCTGCAGCCGTAGCCTGCCCAGTACTTTGAGCCCCAGAGTCAGCGGCTCGCGGGCTGCCACTTGTGGGCACCAGACTGACACAGGGGAGGGAATTACCCCGCAGTCCCCCCGCCCTTACCCGGGAAGGCCAGGGAGGGCACGAAGACAACGGGGACTCCATCCACAGGCCGCATGCACTTCCTGTGAGTCAGCGATGTTGGAGGAGGAGTCTTTCTGCCAACGCTGTTGAATGAACTTTCTCAGGCGGAACTTCTCCCCGCAGGACCAAGGACCAAAGGGAACAAGACAGGGGGAGCGGAGATGGCAGAGTAAAACCACAGCATAGCTTTTGTCACTGTCATAGCTGACCTCGGGTCTACTGAGAACCCGACACCAAGGGGGAGGGGGCACTGTTACTTGATGTGGGTCTTATTGTTATTATTGTCAGTAAGTGTTAAACATTTTGCCCAGGAGACTGGGGAAGCAGATGTCTTAGTGGACAGGGGTCTGAAGTACACTGGACTTTATGGAGAAACTTGTTTGTAAAGACTTATAATTATTGCATTTTCTTACAAAAAATATATTTTGGAAAACTGTACACTATTAAAGTGCTTTTGTGGAAAGCTGGCTCAAGCCCCCGTATTTCTGCTCTGATTGCCTTGAACTTGTCACTTGTGCTCGAGGCGCCTCTCCCAGCAGCTGAGGACGCGTGGGCAGGGCCCTCTGCGCTCCTGGTTACCCTGCCCAACAGGTGCAGGGTGGGCGGGAGGAGGGGGATGAAGGAAAAGGGGAAACAGGCTGGTGGAGAGGTTTCCACCTTATCTCAGGCTACCCTAGAGGACCTCACTTCCCCGGACACTCTTTATTTTAAAGCCAGTTAGACTTCCACTCAGTGGTTCACAGCCCCTAACAGGATCTGCCTCTTGCCACGGAAGGTTTCTGCCCGTCTCTCCTGTGGGTGCACAGGGGAGGCAGAAGGGGTTTAGGGAAGGCTGACCCTGCGGTTATCTTGGTACCCTTTCTCTGTGCAAGGGGGGACACTCCCGTGTTCCCAACTTACAGGAGGGAAACTTAAGAGGGTCAGTGTTCCTAGTTGCTGGACAACAGTCTGCTTGCAGGCCTCCTGCAGTTCACAAAACATTTCTCACCTGTCTTGTTCAGCGGCAGAAGTAGGGAGGAACCCCAGGCCTTGACTCTGCGTGTTTGCCCAAGTGCACGCTGACGCTCAAATTCCAACAGCCACCAAACACATTTCTGGAACGCTAACTGCTGCTAGCAGTTCCCTTTCATGTGGAGTTCTGAGAGGCAGCTGGCGCCCTGCAGTGCCAGGGCGTTCTGAGGTTCACCTCCAGGGTATGCCAGGGATACACAAGGCGTGGACCGAGTCCCACAGGGTGACTCAGAGCTTATCGTGGGCCACAAATCAGACCTAAGGCTCCATTCCCTTCCTGCGTAGGGCACTGACCCTGCTCTGCTCCCTAATCTGCCAACCAAGACGTTCTCTTGGTTGTCATCTTTGATTTGTTCCACCTGTTTGCCACTCTCAACCTCCCCATTCTATAAGCTCCTCCCCAAACCACTTACCCCAAGTTAGAAGTAAATAAAACAGGACTGGCTACGCCGATGAACATTAGTGACAAGTGGGGCAGAGAGGTTGAGACGGTGCCCAGCGCTACATGGACGTTACTAGTGGATCTGGAAACAAACAGAATGCCTGGCTCCTGGGTGACCTATCCTGTGGCCCAGGTTCAGAGGGTGGCGATGCGATGCACGCTACCCACGTGCCAAGCGTCCTCCCCTCCCCTCTTAGGCACTGCCGACCATCAGAACTTTCTCGCGCTGTGCTGGGCAGCCCGCTTGGTGTCGCTCCCCCTCTTCGTGGAGGAACGACACTAAACCCTGCCTAGGTTTCATATCCGAGTCACGGCACCATTATGTCGCTCCCCGTCTTCGTGGAGGAACGACACAGGACCCTGCGCTGTTCTTTCGTCTGCTCGGCCCTCCCCGGGTTTGCTGCTGGTTCTTCCCGGGTTGGCTACCGTCCCTTCCACCTCCGTGGAAGGGCGGTTCCCCCTGCCACTTTCCCCACTTCTGCGGGGGAGCGGCACACCGCCGGCCGGCTCTCTTGGGGGCTGCACAGGTGTTCCTTCAGATAGATGTTCCCTGTGCATGTTGTCTCTCTCCTCCTTTATGGTCCTCTTCCACCAATCCCAACTCTGCTACCCACACGCCGAGTACGCTGCTCTCCTCCAATCAGGAGCAGCTCCTGCAGCTTGTCAAGTTGGTGAGAGGCAGCTGGGTAGAAGCTGTTTGCTCCTCTCCCAGCGCCATATTGTGGGAGAGCAGATGTATAGAATAAGTCTTAATTCCAGTAACAGTATAGTCCGAGTTGCTCCCCACAGCTTGGACCAAGTTTTTCTCCCCTCTTTCCTAAGAACATCTCTGCTTGGATGTGGCTGGGTCCCCTTACTTCTCCTGGGTGGGTGTCCAGCAAGAGGGCAGCCCTCCAGGGACAGAACAGCTGGACAGCAGGGAGGCTGGCAATCACCTCTGCTGGCTCACTTTCCTGAGGTTGCACAGAGCCCCCAGTCTCCACTCTCTGTTCCTTTGCTCCTTCCAAGACACGCAGCGGGCAAAGGAGGTGATGTAACACATGGTGCTAAAGGAAGGAGTCAGCAAGTCGTGTGCAAACTCGCGGGTGGGCTGACTAGCACAGGTCCCGGGAGAGCCGTCAGCCGCCCCTTCTAGGGATGCCTTCAGCCTTCAGGGCTTAAACGTGAAGAACGGAACAATATTTTCCTTTTTAATTTCTATGGATTCTGTGGTTGCCAGTTAGGAGGAGTATGGCCATTTCCCTACTAGAGCCGTATCCTCTCTCAGACAAGCACAAAGTAACGCCGTCAAACCTCTGGAGGTCCCCATACTCACGGCTGTGGAGCAGCTAGCATCTCAGCCAAAGTCAGCAGCCGAGCCCCGTGTCCACCCCTGCCCGCCAGGAGACAGAAAAACAGATTCAGGGCGGTGCCCTCCATCTCCGCCTTCCGTATGAACTCTCTGGAGCATTAACCAAGGAAAAGCCAGCTCCCTACCTTATCACTGTGCCTCATGTTTTCCTGTTTTGAAAACAAACTTTTGAGCCACACTCAGAGCACATCCTAGAAATGAGAACCATGTGGTGAGATATAGATTATTTGGTTTTAACACTGAAAAAACACAACTCTATTAGGAGTTCACACCAGGCCACAGCATCCCCAAGACGACAGGCGGAGGGGAGACCTGCTTATGGGAGTCCATTGGGCATCCGTATCCGGCTTCTGGCTCAGTTTATGTTTTTTCAAGGTTGGCCCTTTGTTACTTCCTCTCTGCTCTGGGGACAGAGACCAGGATTTTCCCAACACGGTAAATGTCCAAGTTCGCTCCCTTTACTATCTGTCTACAATTAGTTCTCTATTTCAGGTCAGTTTCTTCTCCTAGTTCCTGAACTCTACAGAGATCAGGTGAAAACTGCGCAAGCGGCCATTCATAGCAGATAGGAAAGCATTTCCTCAATAAATAGCTGAGTGGTGTCTTTAGAGACGGAAGCTTCCCCCAGAAATTCCGCGAGCTCATTCATTGGAGCGGCGTCCCAAGGGCCCTTCTACGGTGGGTCATGGTCCACCTCTGGGAGCCTGAAGAAAACCTCTTTGAGGGAAAAATACAACAACTACAGAAGCAAACACAGGCGACACCTTGTAAGGTCCATATATAACTTTTAATTAAGAAAATGAACAAAATACATTCTTTCTCCATATGTACATTACATACAACATAATTCTACAATCGCAATTGTTTAGCAGATCAATTTACTTATTCACATAGTAGTGTTAACACATGTACCAAACCTGGGATCAGAAATTTACATGTACTAAAAACCCAAATCCTAAAAAGCCCATATGGACTAAATTTAAAGCAAAGAGGATCAGAGGGAATGAGGAAGACCACAGAACACAACACAGCCGAACAATGACCTGGAACAATTACTCTCAGGACAGATCTGATACCCAGAAAGCACTGGTTTTAAAGCTCCCACCAGCTGACGCCATTCTTTCCACTTCTGACTTAGGGTACTTTAGGATGTGGATCTAACCCCACTGACAGCAAAACCCAGCGAGTTTCCCCCTCCACACACTAAGGAAAGGAGTCTCATCTAAAACACGGATCCTGTGCAAAGCTTCTGATTCTGAGCTGGTGTGCAGAAAAAGGAACATTGCTGATAGACACTGCTTAAGCACAGGAACTGTTCCGTGGGCCCCTCACTGATAATTGCATTCATTTTGTCTCTCTTCTGCTTCCCCCAGCCTCCCCGGCCTCTCGACAGCACCTCATCCATTGAGTCACTCCTAAACGGAAGGCTCCTCATGGTGTGGGTATGCTCCACTTCCCCCAGTGGTGCACTAACGTCCCAATTAGAAACATCAGGGGTCTAAGGATGAGATTTCCAGTGCCCGGAGTGAGGCAGCTCCCCACAGCTCCCAGGTAGTAACTGACATCCAGACGTCAGGGTTCAAGATACATATACAGAGAATTTTTTCAGACTATCTAGGAGAGGGTCATGAGTAAAATAACGTAATTAGGACAGGGGCAGTGTGCTTGCAATCTGGTTCTCCATGCCCACGGCATAAGACAATGAAAATGACTGTGAGAAAACGTTTTGTTAATGTCTGTTTTCCTTAAACCTTCTCTGGCCTTTACCCTGTTTAATAATGACGGAAATCGGGGACAAGAGAGTGAGTCTCATCAGTTAACTGACAGTGGCTCCCCTTCTTTACACTTAGTCATTTTCTATGAAAATGCATTTTTCTAATCACAAGAATCAATGTTGTCAAGTCCCATACAAGATATTAAAATTCTCCAGCCTCCAGGTGAGCTGGGTGCTGTCTGTTACCCACTTCCAGTCCAGGAGATGTTCTCACAAAAGGAGCCACCCACCGCGTGAGCACACAGTCCGGGAAGCTGGTCTGCCGGCTATGGATGAGCTGTAACTTCCTTCTCAGTCTAATTCCCGTCTACTTTGGTTTTGAGGGTCTATCTCGATCAGAAGGGATCTTAATGTCTGGCTACTGAGGACTTCTTCTAATTTATAACATGTTCCTCAAGCTGCTTATAAATATGCCATTTTGGAAAGACAAGAATGCTGTTCCCAAGACTGCGACCGGCAAAGGCGCAGTCAGCTTAGCTTTCTCGTGCCCGTCTCCTGAGGCTGACTCTTTGGGAATGGTGGCACGGGAAGCAGTTCATTAGGAAGAAAGTGCATGTACTCCATGAAGAGATCTGCTCACGTTATTACGCAATTAATTCCTAAACTGAGCTGAAGAGTGTGCATAAAAGACAATTCATACCACACAGTCCAGTTTAATTCATTTCAAAAGACAATACACACAAGTCAAAAAGCGGGCTGGCTTAAAGGCGACACAATCACATCATCACTTGCCCAGGCTAACTGTGCTGCTTAGGAGAGGAAATCACTTTCACTTTTCCAGATGAATTCTTTACAATAAAGGGAGAAAACTGTTTATAACATCAGTTGCCAATATCATTTTTTCTAAGAGAGGAAAAAACCAAAATCTCAAGGAGATGAAGTATGTGACTTTTCAGTTTATCTTCCCCTGTAGGAGAGCATTCATATTTACCCTCATATTTTTCGGCCTTCGATGTTCTACTGAGTTTCAGGTCAGGCTGACAATCACTTTCATGTCTTATAACTGTATTCAGTGTTTCCACGAGCACAGGTAACTTGTATACGTAAAATTAAGCCACAAAGTTAGACGTGTCCTAGGACTCTGAACTTGGAAAGCACGCGATGCTGTCCTGTTCCCCTGTTCATCTCAAGAAGGTAAATGCAGGGACTATAAGCAGTGTGCAAACATCGATGGCCAGGCCAGGATGGATAAGCTCCCCAACCCTCGGAACACACACATCAGGGGTCCACTCTACTGCTGCAATGGACCCAGAACATGAGCTAGACTGTCTCTATTGCAACCATTGTACGGATGTGCAGGGCACTGCGAGAATAAACTGAAATCATTAAACACTTCTAATGCCAAGACCTGATTATGTTTCTCTGCAAAGCAGAACAAACAAAAAACCTTGGGATTATATATAATAATTTTAAAGCTTGCAAACTAACATCAGTTCACTTCTGTGTGGGTTCAAAGTCATACATGAAGTCACAATATTCTATTTATTATTTAAATTTATATTTGAAAGGCAGAGAAAGACAGACAGAGACAGAGACAGAGACAGAGAGAGAGAGAGAGAGAGAGAGAGATGAATCTCCCACCTGCTAGGGCTCAACCAGGCTGAAATCAGGAGCTTTGAACTCCATTCGGTCTCCCTTGAAGGAAGCTGCCTCCCTTGTAGGGTTTGCATCAGACAAAGCTAGACTCACAGCAGGGCTGGAACACAGGCACTCCTGTATGGGATGCAGGTGTTCCAAGCGGAGGCTTACGTGCTACACCAGACGTGTCCTGTTTCAGAGGGCTGGAAAACGAATACCAAATAATGATACAGAAGTAATGATGCTGCTAAACACTAAGAAGGCTTTCTTGAGATCTGCTAACAAGGAGAGAAATAAAGCTCAAAACTGGCTAGCTGAGCAACTGCAGGCCTGCTCAGCACACTGCACAGAGGGCTGCTTCCCATGAAGTACTGAACGGAACTGGAGAGCCATCTTGGGCTGCTGTCTGCACGGCAAAGGCTGGCACCGCAGAGGGCACTGGAGTATACGGCAGCAAGAGCTCAGACTCCACGCCTACCAAGCCCTCTGGGAGCCAGGAAACAGCACATTAAAATGCTTTATTGCTGGCTTCTCTTTAGGAAACTGCTTACCTGGGGCCGGCGCTGTGGTGTAGCGGGTAAAGCCGCCACCTGTGTGCCGGCATCCCATATGGACACCGGTTCAAGTCCTGGCTGCTCCACTTCTGATCCAGCTCTCTGCTGTGGCCTGGGAAGCAGTAGAAGATGGCCCAAGTCCTGGGACCTCCGTACCCACGTGGGAGACCTGGAGGAAAGTGCTGGCTCCTGATCAGCCCAGCTCTGGCCACTGTAGCCATTTGGGGAATGAACTAGCAGGAAGACCTTTCTGTCTCTCCTTCTCTCTCTCAAATAAATAATTAAAAAAAAAAAAAAACCTCAAAAAAAAAGGAAGACAAATGATTTAATAATCTGTATTGCTGTCTTAGAACTGATCTACCTCTCAACCAAACATCCCCCAGCTCTACCCCTTCCTATGGTTGCTGCTGACTCTACAGCCCTCAGAAAAAACCCACACAGAATTGTTTTCTGGCAAGCTTGACTATGTTTGAGGACAACTGTTGCATATTAGCAAACTTCATTCCAAATAATGACTCTAATGTAGATGATTAACTAGAACCATCCTTTGAATTTTGTTTTAAAATTGTGAGCTGAGTTCCAGTTCCAGATCTCTCTACCTGACAGAGAAAGGCAGGCAACGATAGGTTTTGCATGAAGGTATTTCTCTATGTACCACCAGAAAATCAAATTTACCTTAACATCTAATGACTCAGATGATTTTTACCACTGGTTACAACTGAAAGTAAATTTAGTCATTTGGAATTGGGATTAAATTCACATTCTTCAAGGGAAGAGACATTTCTAAGGCCGTACTATTTTTGTTGAAGGAAAAAAAAAGGAATACCAGTAAGTTCATGATCATTGAAGCTATTCCTAATATGACTACATCAATAACTGAAAGTCAATTCTTAACACAAATTCCAGATTCAATAGCATATCAATACTGTTCATAGGAGGTGGGACCAGAAGAAAATAGGCTAAAAAAATACCATAAAGACTATAGGCAAACTGGAACGTCTGTTTGTATGCTGAATTCCATGAGCTCTCCTATAAAACTGCTCCTTTACCAACAGTTGTATGACAGTGCTTCCTAGTGCCAGGAAAGGGAATCAACATGGACTCTTCCATCAAAGCTGCCCCAGGGTGGGCACTGCCTCATGGTTAAGACACAGCTACAATGCCTGCAGCCCACTCTGGAGTGCCCGGGTTCAACTCCTGGCTCCAGCTTCAGTGAGGACTCTAGGAGGCAGCAGGTGATGGCTCCTGTGGTTGGGTCCACGTTGCCATGTGAGGGACCTGGATTGAGTTCCTGGCGTCAACCAGGCCCAACCCTGGGCATGGCAGGCATGGAGGGAGTAAATCAGAGAATGGGAGCACTCTGCCTTTCCCAAATTTCAAGAAAAAAGAGCTGCCACAGCAATCATCACTACCCTCAAATGAAAATGATTTAAGTGTTTGTTGCAGTATCTCAATGTTATTAATTCTGTAACATACAACTTCAATTTCACTAACCCCCATCATAAACAAGAATGTAAACGTGGAGAGCATGTTTGCTTCATAACAACGTTGATCTTTCTTTCAAGCAGCAGCCATGCTACAGGAATCCCATCAAGTCTATGGCTGTAACGGTCAAGAACAGCGATAGGAGCTGAGAAAAATCAATGTAAACAATTCACACTATTTGGTGAGTAGGAGCAAACCGAGGTTAAAAAAATGTGTTAAGTGCAATCTCTAAAATAGTATTTATTCAGAAAAAGAAAAGGAGCGTTTGGTGAGAAATCAATATATTGCGATAATGAGTGCCCCGCCCCTGTGATGACAACAGCAGCATTTAGCTGAGCTGGTTCGCTCCTTATTATTTCAACAAACTTAGAAGACTTCCACCTTCAGCTGACATACCTCTAGACTGCAACTTTGGGATAACCAAGTCATCTCAGCATTAAACACATCACAGGTGTTACTTGACTAAAACAAAACAAAAACATTTTAGTTAAAAAAAAGAGTCCAGATTTCATCTCTAAGTACTGTCATATGCAGACCCGCTATGATCTCCCATGACTACAAACTGTCTCCAGGGAAGCCTGCACATCCCAGATCGAGGACGAGCCACTGTGAGAATTCACATGAGAATCTGTCACAGCATGAGACTGCGGACAGACATGTATTCTAAAGCAAAGAAGGGTTAGGAAGATGTATTGTATTGCCACATGACTTTCTTCAGAGTACACACAGTAACGATTCCTCCCACCGAAACCACTGCCAACTGTAATTCTCACCTTTTGCAAAACATTCAACCAGCTAAGGGATTTCCCAGAACGAAAGCAAAAACTCAGGAAAAAAATTAGACGGCCCACAATTACCCAATGAATTCCATGTGGTGTTCAGGATAATTTTATGGCAAACTCTTTATGTAATTACCGTAACATTTAATATAATTCACAGAATAAAATGAGGCACATACTCCTTGCTAAGTGCTTTTTGATTATTCTCAACCTCTCACTAAATGATTCAGTGCCTCAAGCTAGTTTTCACTGTAAGTTAGATTCTGAAGCGGCACTTCATGAAGCGGAACTGTTAACGGATCTCCACACAGCACTTGGAAGGCAGCTGTGGAGAGCCACTGGACTGATAAGGTGGCACACACAGTGTTATTTCACTTGAGGATGCAGTTTTTACACACTTCAACCAGTCATCATGCTCTCAATTGGAAAAGATCGAGGGACTTAATTTTCTAACAGCTTTTACTTACTAGACACAGGTCAGTTTTAGAGTTTAGTCTAAAAACATGACCTTGACAGAGGTTGACACTGTTTGTCAGCTTTAGCACACAGGAAGGTGCTCAACTCTCAAGTCCTCGACTGCAGAGAATGATATACTTTGAATTAATCAAGCTGGCCATGTGAGGTTTCTGCCGTTTCACAAGACACCTTGCAAATGCATTTGAGAAGTGTCTTGCAAATCAGATCATTTCTCAAGAAGCACAGGCACTGCAAATGATGTGAGATCTACTTTATTTCTCGCTGAAAATAATATATTCCACTGGGAAAAAGAAATAGGAGAGAAGTTGAAGCTAAGGACAAAATTAAGCAAACCATGTCCCGATAATTACGTGTCTAAAGCATCAGCCAGTATTTCGATTCAGGACTCACTAAGTTAAAAATCAAAGAAATTTTAAGTAGTAAAGCATATATGTAGTTACCTAAACAAAACTTATCTATCCAAATACAAATTATAAACTTAAATTACAGTACACTACTGGAATTCTTGGAAATACACACAGTTCCTCACTAACTCCGTGACTGAGACCAGGGTTCTAAGGTGAAAATAATGTGAGCGCTTGCAGTCCTGCTCATGGGTACATGAGGCCTGCATTCCTGGCAAACATTCCAGTGATGCCCCACGAAGCCGACTTCTCTAGTGGACTGCCGCCTCACTTCGGAAATGGGCCACCATGATTCAACTCCATTTCAACACGGTAGTGCAAAAAATTCCAAAAAACGAAGGGGGAAATTTCCATCTACACAAAGTGAGGAAAGATGAAACTGAAACAAGCACATATTTATTTAAAGCAGATTTTAAAAACAAAAGCCAGTAGACATGATTAGGGGAAAACAAAACCAAAATCACTGAGGTCAAGAATTGAGTTTCCTCCAAATAATTTGAGTGTAAGGAACTGACCAAAAAAGTTATAAAAGCACTATAAACAAAAGGCAAGGGCAGCCCGCTTCATTTGGTTAATGTTTTAAAGTACCAGGATTCACAGTAAGCAAAACCAGAGCTTCTAAATCTAGACAGTCGTATCAGGTTCCTCCCTGTCAACCTCTGACTTGCACCTGTCTTCACAAAATGAGATTCATCAGGCTACCATATTAGTTACACTGATATTTTTTGTCCTGGACTGTTACTCAGGGGAATCATTTTATGGAACTGTACAAGTGCAAGTAAACTGTATTTATTTAACTATAATCGATTGGTCACTCCACATCTACACAATCTGGAACCTGCTGAAATACAGAATACATTTCACAAGGTAAGGTAGGGAATAGCTTGTGTAAGAAATCACTACTGACTGCTCTGGGATAACTGGAAAGCCACCGATGGCTCAAGATAGAACCAGCAAAAATACCTGTGTCCATAAAGACAGAGGGAAGATGGATCTCAAAGTCTGACTCCTACACATGACACTTCTTCAAAGTGCAGGTCACTCCGTTCTCTCTGGTGACGCCTAACCTTGCCACACAGGCACACACTCAGTTCCATGAGTCATTCAGTCTTAAGAGCTGACTGACGGACACTTACTATACTGAGTCTGCTTCCAGCACGGTGGCTGTCGGGCGCACACAGCACTCTGGCTGAGCAAACGTGAACGCTGACCAGGTGCCGCTTTCCCACACTGCACTCCACAGCACCTTGCCGCAAGATACGTGCCTCCCCCTCCGCAAACCAACTGGAATTGTGGCAAAGACCATCTGTCATGCCTTTCTGTTTAATGAAAAAATATTCTTTTTCTCCATTTAAAAAAGCCCAGGATCTGCTGCTAGCTGCACACCAGTGGACAATCACAAACCATTATTCTTCAAAATATCAGTATACAGAAGCAGATGTACAGAGCCAATGTGTATGGGGAAGAAAGAAAGGGGTGGCTTTAGAAATGGGCTTCCCAAATGAAAATGCTACAAAGACACAGCACAAACCAACCTGTGCCCTAGAGCCACTGTCTTCCAAAACGGCTACAAAGAGATGAAGGACACCTTAGTCACCCTAGATCCCTCCTGCTTGTCATTTCTGGAATGGCTCTTAAAGGTTCCACACTAAGGTCTCCTCAGTTTAAAGTTCTGTGACTTAAAGCCAGATGATACTATAGTATCCACTATAAAATGTATCACTGTAGAAATATTACACACCAATCTCAGATGGGTGTCCAGGTCAGTCTTGGATTTCGCTTCTTTGTTCTATGGCAAAGAGTGCAAACTTGAGCTCTCGGTTCTGCCTATTATTTACTGTGCTACAACACTGACACAACATCACCTTCACGTACAGCCACTGTCGTACAGTACTACGTATCTGTTGAGAACGAGGTAAACAAGCGACACCACTCACAAGCAGTTGTGTGATGTGAGATAAAAGTGAAATCGGAAGGGAAGAAAAAGCAGAAAGCTAGCCAAAAAAATCCAGCAAAGTCCAAAGTTCTTACAGCACTGAGTCTGTTAACAGTGCTCAGCTCCCCAGTTTAAAAAAAGAAAGAGAAATAAAATTCAGAGAAGGGTGAACTGCCTATTTTTTTCTCTTATATTCATTAATTCTTAAAAGTTAAAGTAAGAAAAAATATATGTATATATTTAAATGGAAAGTATACCAATTTCACTTTATTAGCCTAGTTTGGGAATAGGACGAGGAGAAGGGGGTTGCGGTCAGGCGTGAAAGAAGAGGATTGAAACTCGTGACGGTAAAGATCCCTTGCAGGCTCTGGTGCAGGCCTCCATCACAGCGCAGCGGCAGCCCAGAGTCGCAGTCCAAGACGAAGCAGGCTCCGTTCTGCACGTCCCCATCGAGCGGCCCTTCGGTTACAGCGTGATGAGGTCTACCAAGTTGCCTTTGGGTGGAGTCATACTGTCAGGAAAGAAATTTACTAAGGTGTCAAAGAGCTGAGTTCGTTGAGCATAGGTGTGATCCACATCGGAAAAGCCTGGGGCAGAAGAGAGAAAAGAAATTCAGCCACTGTGTTTAAAACTCAACCTGTACCAGACACGCTCTTCGAAACCAGCAGCAATGAGTAACGGACAGACCAGATTCTACTGAATCGTTCCCGGTTTCTCTACCCGGCAGTGGTCTGATCCCAGTAAAGGAACCAGACTTTCCTTTCAGCCCTTCTGTTTCCCCTAAATCTGCGGTACTCCTGCTCATGTCAGGGCTGTTATGGGACCACCTGTGACTACAAGGATGCGCCTGCTCCCTTCAGGGTTGTTGTGGGACCACCTGTGACTACAAGGGTACTCCTCGCAAGACTGGCGCTTCAGGAACCAGGTCACAGCTTTCTCCTCTCTCCCTTCCAAGGCTATTCCTCTGCTGGCCAGCGCTGAGGAAATCCCACTCCTCTTTTCTGAATCATTAATGCTTCAGACCCACTAAAAGTTTTTTGATAATAAAAATATAATAAAGTCAAAATGAAAGGGATCTTTAGAAAATGGTGTAAAACCAGTAAGGCCCTTGGAGCTGGAAGTAGACTCAGAGAATTGAATGAAAACATAGATGACTGAAGAAAGAAAGACACATACACTATATATCTGGCACATAGTAAATAACTATACATTTATGGTTCTACTACATGCCTCGAGACTGGCATGCTCCTTCTCACTGAATTTTTTTTAAAGATTTATTTATTTATTTGAAAGAGTTATACAGAGAGAGGAGAGGCAGAGGCAGAGAGAGAGAGAGAGAGAGAGAGGTGTCTTCCAACCAACGGTTCACTCCCCAAATGGACACAACGACCAGAGCTGTGCCGATCCGAAGCCAGGAGCCAGGAGCCTCCTCCTGGTCTCCCATGTGGGTGCAGGGGCCCAAGGACTTGGGCCAACCTCCACTGCCTTCCCAGGCCATAGCAGAGCTGGATCGGAAGTGGAGCAGCCAGGTCTCTAACTGGCGCCCATATGGGATGCCGGCACTTCAGGCCAGGGCATTAATCCGCTGTGCCACAGCGCTGGCCACTCTCATTTTTTTTTTTTAATTTATTTATTTGTTTTCCTTTTACTTGAAAGGCAGACAGAGCTCCTCCATCTGCTGGTTAACTCCAGAAATGCCCACAACAGCCAGGGCAGGAACCTGGAACTGCTTCCAAGTCTTCCTCGTGGGTGGCAGGCACCCAAGCACTTGAGCTGTCACCTGCTGTCTCCCAGGGAGTCCATCAGCGAAGCTGGACCTGGAAGCAGAGGAGGCGGGACTTGCCCGGACCTTAAAGCAGCATCTTAACCACTGCACCAAACACCTGCCTCAGGTTGTGTTTTTAAAATTTTATTATGGTTGTTGTTTCAAGTTTGAAGGAAAATGGTTACTTCTTTGAGTTGAGTTTAAGATTCAATAAAACCTACTATCATATCACAGAAATGAATGGAAGGAAATACTCCAAAAATATCAACGAAGTTACCTCTGAATGGTGAGACTATAATTTTTTCCTGTTTCATACTTTTCTAAATTTCTAAACTCCTTTATTTTCAACTCTTTATTTTGAAAAATTTTAAGCCCACAGAAAAATTTCAAGAATAGTACAACATTCATATATTCTTCACTTAGATTCATCAATGAACATTCTGTCAAATATGCTGTGTGTGTGTGTGTGTGTGTGTGTGTGTGTGTGTGTTGTGGTATGTGAATCCCAATCTTTTCATGGAACTCTTTGAAAGTAAATCACAGGCATTCACTCTTCAAAATTTGAACTAATTTCAGCCAATATACTTTACATAACCACTATATTATGAGGGTGCTTCAAAAGTTCATGGAAAGGCAAAAACTCTCATTTTCCCCTGGCATATAAGTTTTCAAATTTGCACTATTTCCAGTAAATGTATTATTACATTAAAAGCTCCTGTAAACAAGTGGGTTGCAGATAAGAGGCTGAAGAAAAGACCTTGCTGAATCTAAGCTTAGTGCACAAAGCAAAAGTATAAAGTTAAAAGGACACAGAAAATGATGAGAAATTCTGAAGACTTTTAATTCATGAGTGGCAACAATTATCAAAAGGCACTGTTTGAGGGCTGGCGCTGTGGTGTAGCAGGGAAAGCCACTGCCTGCAGTGCCAGCATCCCATACAGGTACTGAGTCGAGTCCTGGCTGTCCTACTTCTGATCCAGCTCTCTGCTATGGCCTGGGAAAGCAGTGGAAGATGGCCCAAGTCCTTGGGCCCCTGCACCTGCGTGGGAGACCCTAGGAGGTTAACATAAATTGGAATAATTATGAAGGAAATGAGTCTGAAAGCTTGGCTGAGGCTAGTGAACTAGAGGATAGAAGGTATTCGTGCGCTCCCTCTCTCTCCCTCTCTCCTCTCCCCCCCTTCTCATGCCTTTCAAATAAAATAAAAATAAAGCAAGAAAAAATTTTAAATAGTATGTATAATAGGTATGTTGGAAAATTTCAATACTATTGCTCAACTCTTAGAAAAATAGTAAGAGCACAGCTTCAGGGCACCAATATGCATTCTCTGTGTAACTACATTTTATTATGACAAGCGGAAAGCTAGAAATCCCCATAATCAAATGACAACTATCTTGGTAAGAAACTGGAGCTACCAATGAGTTATCCTAACATAAATACCCATGAAAGTTTACCTGACTATGACCCTGGGTACTGACAACTAAACAGGCTCCCCATTTTATTATAGCCTAGTTTAACTGCTTGAATGCTTTACAAATGGTAACTGCAGAGTCAGTAGGGAGTCATGAGTGCAGAGGAAGACTAAGTGAGGTCACAGTGAGAAGATGGCCATCCGCAAGCCAAGGAGAGAGGCCTCAGGAGAGACCAACACTGCTCACATCTGGATCCTGGTCTTCTTGCCTCCACAACTAGGAAATAAATTCGCTGCTTAAGAAACCAGTCTGTGGTATTTTGCTATGGCAGCCCAAGCATACTGACACACTGTACTTATGTGGTAGGGGCCGGTGCTGTGGTATACCGGGTAAAGCTGCCGCCTGAGGTGCTGGCATCCCATATGAGTGCCGGTTCGAGTCTCAGCTATTCCACTTCCAATTCAGTTTCCTGCTATGGCCTGGGAAGGCAGTGGAGGGTGGTCCAGATGCTTTGGCCCCTGCACCCGTGTGGGAGACCCTGAAGAAGCTCTTGGCTCCTGGCTTTGGATTGGCCCAGCTCCAGCCATCGTGGCCATTTGTGGAGTGAACCAGTGGATGGAAGACTTTTTCTCTCTACCCCTGCCTCTTTGTAACTCTACCTTTCAAATAAATAAATAAATCTTTTAAAAAAAATGTGGTAGTTGTTAACACCTATTTTAACAAGTGAGTCACTTTCCAGTTTCTGATTAAAATGCAGTTTAAATATTCTTTAGAAAGCAAATGAGAGTATTACTAAATGAAGACTATGTTTGGGGCCGGTGCTGTGGCATAGCAGATAAAGCCTCTGCCTGCAGCACCAGCATCCCATATGGGTGCCAGTTTGAGTCCCGGCTGCTCCACTTCCGATGCAGCTCTCTGCTATGGCCTGGGAAAGCAGTAGAAGATGGGCCACGTCCTTGAGCCCCTGCATCTGTGTGGGTGACCCGAAGAAGCTCTTGGCTCCTGGCTTCAGATTGGTGCAGCTCCAGCCACTGTGGCCAACTGGCGAGTGAACCAGCAAATGGAAGACTCTCTCTTTCTCTCTCTCTCTGCCTCTCCTTCTCTGTGTAACTCTGACTTTCAAGTAAATAAATAAATCTTTGGAAAAAAAAAAGACTATGTGTGTATCTGAGATGTTTGAGAAAAACATGATTTTCAACTGGAACTTATCTTGAACAATTAAGATACCAAGTAAAAATTCTCATTGTTAGGAAAGAGAATTCATTTTCTCTGTTCTCAATACATTCACTTTATTGCCTACCCCATCACCATTCTCTTGACACCACACATAGACCAAACTGAGAGAGAACCCGTTCAACCAACAGTGCCAATCTCCTAATGAGTATCACTAATGCAGCCTGAAACCCAAGCAGCACCATTCAGTTTAATTTATCTTGCTCAGGTTTCTATTGCTATCTGTCTGCATTATGGCACAGCAACTGGTATAACAGGAGTGACACACAGATCCACGAACTGGTGGACCGTGCGTGGAAAGTACTGCTGCGGCGGGTTATCAGAAACTTTGCCTGTGGTCTCCAAAGCACTCCATTTGTTAGATGGGCATTTTCCCTGATGTTTCATTTAGAAGAAAACAAAATGCAAGCTCCTAAATATGAAGGGATCTGGCTGGGTAAGCTATCCTGGAATACTCACCTAGAGCTGTAAAATCTGATCCAGATTTGAACAGAGCTGAAGCTAAGAGCTGAAACTGTAAAAGAGAAACAGGAACAGGTTAGCTAATTACACTGGAGGAAAACAAACTCTGTACCTGGGACTCTTCCCGAGCAGCTGTGTAACACCGGTCTCGTCGCCAGATCAGTGGCAAGAACACCACAGCTAGATGAATGGAACAAGTCCTGCGATCACCCTTTTCAACACATTCTCATCTCAAAAATAAATACAAGCTATTGTAAAACACCTGATGTCTCTGCTGCATGACTCAAACTCTGAGAAAAAAGCATGTGTATAGGTTGTTTCTGTGATTCCACAATCATGCATAATTACACTGTTAAAATTCCAAGGCCTTTTCAACAGAAATAATAGCCAATTCAGGTTAGTTTAAAACAGAAAATGTACCTGAACTATGACACAGTAAGACAAAATGACAGTATTCCATATGGGCACCAGCTCAAGTGCCAGCTGCTCCACTTCTGATTCAGCTACTTGCTTATGTACCCGAGAAAGCAGTGGAGGATGGCCCAAGTGCTTGAGCCCCTGCACCTATACGCAAGATCCGGAAGAAGCTCCTGGCTTCGGCTTGGCCCAGGTCTGGTAACTACAGTCATTTGGGGGAGTGAACCAATGGATGGAAGACTTCTCTCTCCCTATTTCTCTAACTCTGCTTTTCAAATAAGTAAAATAAAACTTTTGGGGGCTGGCACTGTGGCACAGTAGGTTAATCCTCTGCCTGCGGCAACAGCATCCCATATAGGCGCTGGTTCTAGTCCTGGCTGCTCCTCTTCCAATCCAGCTCTCTGCTATGGCCTGGGAAAGTGCTTGGGCTCCTGTACCCACATGGGAGACTGGGAAGAAGCTCCTGGCTTCGGATCAGGCAGTGAACCAACATAAGGAAGACCTTTCTCTCTGTCTCTCCCTTTCACTGCCTGTAACTACCTCTCAAATAAATAAATAAAATCCTTTAGAAAATTATTGAAATGCTGGGATTTTTAACAAATTAATAAAAATAATTTATAAAATAAAATAATTCATGACAACTAATGGAATATTTATATTTACCTGAAATGAGGATGCTAGAAAAAAGGCAAAGTCAAGGAAAGAGTAAGAGTAGACAAACGTGGCACTTCTCAAGGCTTTAGGAGGTGATACCATGAATTCTTCTGAAGGTATGTCATATCTTATGTTTGGAGCCGTTAAAATTTCAGGTGTTGGGGGCCGGTATTGTGGTAAAGTGGGTTAAGTCATTGTTTTGTAAAGCTAGCATCCTGTATCAGAGGACCAGTTCAAGTCCTGGCTGCTCCGCTACTGATCCAGCTCCAGTTAATGCACTGGGAAAGCAGTGGGAAATGATCCAAGTACTTGGGTCCATCCTACCCACATGGGAGACCTGGATGGAGTTCCAGGCTCATGGCTTTGGCCAGGATCAGCTCCGATTGTTGTGGTCATTTGGAGAGTGAACCAGTGGGTTGATCCCCATGTCTCAACTCTGTCACTCTGCCTTTCAAATAAATAAATATATCCTTTTAAATTGTTTTTTGAAGATCTGCTTATTTGAAAGGCAGAGTTGCAGAGAGGCAGAGGCAGAGGCAGAGAGAGAGAGAAAGGGAGTCTTCCACCCACGGGTTCACTCCCCAAATGGCCAGGACAGCCACCAGGAGCCAGGAGCTTCTTCCAAGTCTCCCAGGCAGGTGCAGTGGCCCAAGGCCTTGGGCCATCTTCCACTGTTTCCCAGGCCATAGGAGAGAGCTGGATTGGAAGTGGAGCAGCTGGACTCGAACTGACGCCCATATGGGATGCTGGTGTTGCAGGCAGCAGCTTTACCAGCTATTTCACGGTGCCAGTCCCAATAAATCTATCTTAAATAAAAACAAACTTCAGTTATTGGGTAGGTGTTTGGCCTGACAGTTAATATGCTAGTTAAGGGGCCTGCATCATCAGCTGGAATGCCTGCATTTGATTCCTGACTATGACTCTCAATTTCAGCTTCCTGCTAAAGCAGACCTTGGCTCCTGGCTTTGGCCTGGCCCATAACTGGCTGCTGTGGCCATTTGGTGAGTAAACATATAGACGGAAGATCTCTGTCATTCTGCCTTTCAAATAAGTAAATAAACTTAAAAAAATAATTTGTGAAGAATGGGAAGCTTTAACCAATTTTTAGTCTTTCAACCCATAAATGTGTTTCTCCATTATATTTATAAATACAGATATAGATTTATATATAAATATTTATATATAAATACAGAGATAGAGAGGAAGGTGGAAAGGGAAAGGAGCCGGGGGGCGGAGGAGTGAGAGAGAGAGAGAGCAAGCAAGCGAGTTTGAGCTATCGATCTTCCATCTATTGGTTCACTTCCCCAAATGTCCACAACAGCTGGGGCTGGGCCAGGCCAACGCCAGGAGCCAGGAACTCCATCCGGGTCTCCCACGTGGGTGGCAAAGCCCTAACTATTAGGGCCATCTTCCGATGCTTTCCCAGGTAGGAATGGAAATGAAGCAGCTGGACTTGAACCAGTGGTCATAACGACGTCAGCATACCAAGCAGCAGCTTAACCTGCTGCACCACAACACTGACCCCAACTTCATTAATTTCTTACAAAAGACGTAGACTGGACATATTTTATTTTTAGAATTTTGAACTTTTAAAAATTTATGTGAAAGGCAAAGTCACAGGGACAGAGAGAGATCTTCCATCTGACAGCTCCTTTCTAAATGAGTACAATAGCCAGTGCTGGGCAAGCCAAAGTCCGGAGCCTGGAAATGGATCCAGGTCTCCCGTGTGAGTGGCAGGAACCCAAGTACTTGGACTGAAACCTGCTGCCTCCCAGGGTGTGCACTAGCAAGAAGCTGGAATTAGAAGCAGAGTCGAGACGTGACAGGAACTCTTGATAGAGGACACAGGCATGCCAACTAGCGTCTTAACAGCTATGGCAAACGGCCACCTCCATATGAGATCATTTTTGATGCTAACAGAAATAGCAGGTTTTAACTTCTCATTTTCTGGCTGTTCATTGCTTTCTACTGACTGTGTCTTCTATAAACTTGTTAAATCCATTTATCCTATGTAGACTTCATGAGGGTTTTCTACATATACATTCATATCATTTATAAATGCAAAGAAATGTACTTCTTCCTTTTCCATCTACATGCTGTTTATTTCTTCCTTATCCTAGCTAGGCATCCCACACGGGTGCTAGTTCAAGTCCCAGCTGCTCCACTCCTCACCCAGTCCCTGGTAACGTCTTGGGAAAAGCAGCAGAGAATGGCCCCAGTCCTTGCACCTCTGCCACACAGGAGGGAGACCCAGAGGAGGACACTGGCTCCTGGCTTTGGCCTAGCCCAGCCCCAGCAATTGAGGCTGTCTGGGGAGTGAACCAGTGAAGGGAAGATCTCTCACTCTCTGTAACTCTTTCAAGTGAATAAATAAATGAGTGAAACAACAACATGCCTCACTGACAAGTACTGTCAAGTACACATGAAAATACGGGAACTGTCAGCAGGGAGTGAACCAATGGAGAGAGACCTCTCTCTCTCCCTCTCTCTCTCTGCCTCTCTGCAACTCTGCCTTTCAAATAAGCAGATCTTCAAAAAACAATTTAAAAAGATATACTTATTTATTTGAAAGGCAGAGTGACAGAGTCGAGACACAGGGATCAACCCACTGGTTCACTCTCCAAATGACCACAACAATCGGAGCTGATCTTGGCCAAAGCCGTTAGCCTGGAACTCCATCCAGGTCTCCCATGTGGGTAGGATGGACCCAAGTACCATGGAAGATCTCTCCCTCTCTCTGTGTAACTCTGCGTTTCAAACAAATAATAAAATAAATCTTTTAAAAAACACTACAGTAAGTTTTGAAAGCTGAGTTAGATATAGTCACTGGGCACCTCTACTGATCCAGGAATATGGCCAAGCAGGTATCCAAGTCAGTGCTGTTTGTGTGTCTGGATAAAATTTGTGGGTCACCCATTTTCAGAAAACTTGTACCTGATCAAAAAGCTTCCGGTAACTGCAGGCTAGTGCAGCCTTGACCCTGAGACAGGAAACCTCCCTGACTATCATGGGCAGGACTTCACGAGACAGCATGGTATACCCATGAGCAATGTGGTCCAGCAGGTTATCAAAGAGTCTGCCACGTTTGATTACATACCACGTATGGAAGGAAGCAATCTCAGAGAGTTGAACAAAAAAAGTAATCAAGTTAGACACTGCAAAGGCAAACCAAACTACCCAGGAGCCGTGATCCACAAAAACAACTCATCACTCAAGATCCCCATTAAAGGAATGACTGGGACACATACGGTGTGCCAGGTGCTGCAGGGTGCTCCTGGGAAAAGCCTGCAAGGGCTACGTGTGGACATGCAGACTCTACTGGATGAAAGTACAGTGACTCTCAAAGTAATCCGTCATTAAACTGGAAACCTGTGCCAATGCTGCAGCGTGATACTGCCATTACAAAGCCAAAGCAAGCAACAGTTAACAGGGAAAGACACACAGGGATAGAACTACATATAATCAGCACCAGTTTTCACAGTGGAAGGTCAAAGGGATTGCAGTTTAGGTACTGCTTGATGTATAAGAATGGCCGGCAAAAGCAAAAAATGGCCGAAAAATGACAAAATCTCAGAAGCTGGTGGAAAGAAAGGCTGTAAAGTTAAAGTTATGAAACACATTGCAGATATTCATACACTGTAGATAAGCAAATAGGCCCATAAGAATATGAAATTTTTAGGAACTGTTGCTTCTATCCCATGTTACATAACAAAATAATGAAGTCATGATCATCTACTCAGTTCTTCAGCTTAGGATCTATTGATAAATAAATCTAGTGACTTCTAGTCAAGCAATACTGATAAAACATTCATATAACTAAACAATATTTACAGAAGCAAGAATTCTACTTCCACCAACCTCTCATTTTCTCCCTACAGAAAAGGAGAGTTTTATTTTCTCTCTTGAGGGATCATGACTCATGACAAAAAATTTATAATAAACGATTACATAATCATTAAGTAAAAGAACCAGGGGCTGGTGCTGTGGCACAGTGGGTTAAGCATCTGCCTGTGGTTCCAGCATCCTATATGGGCGCCGGTTCGAGTCTCAGCTGCTCCAAATTTTTTTTGACAGGCAGAGTTAGACAGTGAGAGAGAGACAGACAGAAAGGTCTTCCCTCCGTTGGTTCACCCCACAAATGGCCGCTACGGCTGGAACTATGCCGATCCAAAGCTGGAGCCAGGTGCCTCCTCCTTGTTTCTCACATGAGTGCAGGAGCCCAAGCACTTGGGCCATCCTCCACTGCCCTCCTAGGCCATAGCAGAGAGCTGGACTGGAAGAGGAGCAACCAGGACTAGAACCCGGCACCCATATGGGATGCTGGCGCCATAGGCGGAGGATTAACCAAGTGAGCTACGGCACCGGCCCTCAGCTGCTCCACTTCTGATCCAGCTCTCTGCTATGGCCTGGGAAAGCAGTGGAAGATGACCCAGGTGCTTGGGTCCCTGCACCCACATAGGAGACCCAGAAGAAGCTTCTAGTTTTGGACTGGCTCAGCTCCGGCCATTGCTGCCATTGGGAAGTGAACCAGCAGATCGAAGACCTCTCTCTCTGTGTCTCCCTGTACCTGTAACTATGCCTATCTCAAGTGAATAAATCAATCTTAAAAAAAAAAAAGTAAAAGAACTAAGGAACTATGGAAGAAGTATAAAAATTTCTGTTTCTTTCCCAAATTCAAACCTAATGTCTAAGTCAAAACTTTATACCTCAGAATCCTTTTCTGAAAGGATCTGCTTTTATGTGACTTAGTCATCTATTACCACTCAAAAACTTGCCTGTTCAATTTTGATTTCAGCTTGTTTGTGCCGTTTTTAAAGATTGTGTCATCAAGCCTTCTTCATTTTATTTTAAATACTCAAGAGCAAAATCAGCAAAAACAAAGACTTTTCAAAAAACTCAATTTCTGAAGTGTAATTACCACCTTTCTTTACCTCTTTCGTCTCTTCAGGGTCTGAATGATCCACAGTTATATAAAGATCGTTTTGTAAATATTTCAGTGCACTCAAGGGATCCATCTGAGCCTTTTCTTCAAATCTGGAAAGGAATAAAAATTGTGCTGAATTATAAGAACCCATCAGGAATGTCTTTCAGACCTCCAGTGGAATACACTGTGTATGAGGAGTTACTCTATTCTAAAAAACTTGTGTCTGGGAAACCACAGTAACAATCCAGCCATGTAGAAGGTGCAGATGTAGACACCTGGAGATGGAAAAGCAATGCAGGTGGCCTTGGGCAGCTGTGGGTAAGAGCATGCCTACTCTCCTCTCACTAGCTACAAAACACAGTGAATGTGTTAAATCATTTACATAAGAGAACAGCAAAAAAGCCCAACGTTCCATGTAAAACAAACAGAAGGAATAAAAATACTGGCCTCTGTTTTAGAATATATTTTCCAGTGGAGACGCTAGCAGATACTTCAGAAATGGATATAAGTATGATCCCTTTTTTCATGAGTATCATTAACACTGGTCAGGCATTTCTTTTTCTTCACTGGAAAGGTGGAGAGAGAGAGAGAGATCTCCCATCTTATGGTTCATTCCCCAAATGCCTACAACAGCAGGGGCTGCGGCAAGTCAAAACTAGGAGCTGGGGACACATCCTAGTCGCCCATGTGGGTAGCAGGGACCCAAGTACTTGAGCTACAACTAGCTACTTCCCAGGGGGCATAACAGCAGGAAGCTGGAAACAGAGCCAGAACTCCAACCCTGGAACTCTTAGATGGGATGCAGGCATATCAGTGGTATCTAAACGGTGTTTCCAAAGGCCTGCCCCTTTACCGTTTAAAAAATAAGTGAGAAATTGTGGACCAAAGATTGAATATGGCTAAGGTAAGAGCTAGCAAGTGGCAAAAGCAGAATCAAACACAGGATCTATTTGATCCCAAAGCCGAAAAGGAAACAATGATCTCTCTTAAAACAGAAAAAAGATTTGGTTCTATTTATCTACCTGAAGAAGATAATGTACATTTATCATAGCATAATTACATAAGGATTTATTTCTCATAAATTTTCCTGTTTTTCAAAACACTACACAAAGAAAAGAAACTCATTTAATTTCCTTTGGGTAAAGAAAATGGTGACGAGCCTTTCACAACGGTGTTCAGATGGGCGGTGATGGAGCATCCGTACTTCAGGCAGGGACAACATTAGCAAAATATCATAGCTCTCTTCTACCAGACAGCACCTCGAGAGTGACTGCGACTCTTATAGCCCTCATACGAGAACCCCTAATACAGAGCTCATGTTACTCTACCCTCTTGTCCACAAAAGATTAGAACAGTGTTTTGGCACCTGAGCCAAAGGCAATCGTCCTGATCAGCAGTTTATAAAATGGCTTGGCAGTGTTCTTCCCAGTAGGGACACTCTCTCCAGGGAATCCTCTCAGAGAATCTGAAGGTGACATATACAAGGACACATAAAAGGCAGACAAAAATAGATAGGTAGTAAGCAGAAGCCATGAAATGGCAGAATCTATGTATCTATCTATGCCATGAGGTTGAGGGTAAACAAACTCAGGATAATAGTATAGGAAAGCAGAGAGAGAGGCATAAAGAAAAGCCACTACAATAGTTCTTAGCTACTCGAATTGTACCCACTGGGCCTCGCTATTCAGATGTTGAGAAAGTGCTTTAAATTCTTGAATATTCTCATAAAGAAATTTTTTCAGGGGGTGGGATTTGGCACAGGGATAAGATTCCTCTTCAGACACCCATGTTCCATATCAGACTGCCCAGTTCGAGTTGCAGTACTTCTGATCCAGTGTCTAGCTAACACGTATCCTCAGAGGCGGAGTGACGGTTCAAGCACTTGGGTCCCCATCGTCCACGTGCAGACCTGGATTGAGTTCTAGGCTCGTGGGTTTGGCCTGGCATAGACTGCAGACACTTACAGAGGGAGAGACCAAGAGAGAGAGAGACAGACAGATCTTTCATCTGCTGGTTCAAACCCACATACCCACAAAAGCTGGGGCTGAGCCAAGCCAAAGCCAGAAGCTAGGAACTCTATCTGGGTCTCCTACATGGGTAGCAGAACTCGAGTACTTGAATTCCTCACCTACTGCCTCTCAGGCATATCGCAGGAAGCTGGATAGGAAGTGGAGGTGGGACTCCATCAAACCTGGGCACTCTCATGGGATGCGGACATCCCACAAATGCCTGCCTCTGTCTTTTCTCTTAAACACAGTTTAACATGAAGTAATATATTAAGGAGTGACTTTTAGTGATATAAACATTGGCTGAAGGTACATCAAAGTTTCAATCTTGTTTTAACAGAGTTTATCCTTTGCCAATCAGACAACGTGAAGATGAAGACCTTCCCCCTCACAAACTCTATAACAAATACAGTTATTATTCACACTTAACGTCCCAAACTAGCTTCTGCATTAATTTATCTTTTAAGCACAACATGTGAAAGCCAAGAAAAGAACACTATGTAAATACATGATAGGAAAATCTAATTCATACATAGATTTTTGTGTACTCACATTCTACACAAAATATGCAAGCATATATATATATAAATGTATACATATGCATATTTGTACATGTGCATACATACACACACATATGGTGATCTTGTGGTCAGCCTTAGAGAGAGAATATTCAGGATCAAATCCAGGTTCTGTCGCTTACAGTTATATGACTTTCATGATGAGTTATATAATAAGTTTCAAAATATCTGTTTTCTTCTTTTATAAAATTATGATAATTATAATACTTAGTTCATTAACTTGTGAAAATAATATGCAGGATCTAGCACATAATTAATTGTTCAATAAATGATAGCTATGCCATCTTTAAAGGCTAACCTTCTCCTTCAAAACTACAAATTTTTATTACCCTTTAATACTATCAGTAACCAAAAGGCAAACAGACTTATCTACAATTTAGTAGTTTAACAGCTGTTAAAGCTAAATTGCAAACATGAAATATCTATTAAAATGTTTGATTACATGATTCTGCAATTAAATGGCAAGGGTAATGATGTGAAACTATAATCATATTTTGAAGTTGTATTGTGGAGTAACAAATTATAAGTACATTCTGTAGTCATTCATATTACCACATTTACTAGTAATATAATTACTATCATCAGGTCAGGCCTGTGTTAACATTCTAGAATTGATCAAGTTTGTAGCATCAGACCTTGAGTTACACCAAGGTGGCATGTCCACATATACAGAATTTTTTTTCTGTATTTGGAAATTTTTAGCATAATCACCTATCTTCACTTTTGGTGTCTCTTTTGGAAGAGGAAATAATAAAGCAGCAGAATAACAGGGCATTCAAGAAATGCATGATCTTTGCAATATCAAAGTTGTCTCATTATTAAATTTGAAAAGAGAAAAGTTGAATCTAGAAGACCAATAACAGCTGATGAACATTTTAATTAAAGATTCTCATTGAAGTATTCTGTACCTGTGTTTCCTTATGAGGTACTTGCAATGTCTCAGTAAGTAATCCTTTGAAGGCCTACACAGCTTCAGTGACCAGAAATCATCTAATCTCATCTTTGGAGAGCAAGATTTTCCTGGATTCCCACCAAATAAATAATGAACCTATAATAAATAAAACAAACCAGATTTTCAAAAAATACATGCACATTAAAGAAACTACAGAAGCCAGAGTAAAATTTATTTTGGAAGCAGTATCTACAGTTAACTTTATTATCCCAATTCATATTTTAAAAAGAAGTACTGCACTTTTACCAAAGACTTCTCTCTTGGTTTTCCTTGAGTTTCCTTTTTACTTTAAAGCACTACATTTACTGCAATTACATTTTTTGCTAAAATGAATTCTATTACCAAAATTACTATGGCAGTGGCAGAGAGACAACAAAAACAGTGATAGGAAGAAGCTAACCCAAAGTATAGTTTGCTTAAGATAAGCAGTGATGGGGATTATCCAGTTAATCAAATGTTGATCATAATAAAAAGTGGTAACGTGTATTTGGGGATTCTTTCAGACGTAGGCTGTGGAAAGCACGCAGGCCAATGCAGTCAGGATACCTTGTGTAATTCATCATATACAAGCTGATGGGCAAATCTTGGACATGGTTCTTCCTCCTGAAGACTTTTACTTGGATTTTCCTTTGCAGCTTGATCGTTCTTGTAGACACAAGACCTGCAAGACACTGTTTTTTAAGACATTCTATCCCAGAAAATTAACAGCAGACAATGTTAATTCAACTGTAGCAAGGAAACTAACTGTATGTCCAATTAACAACAGAAAAAAATGATAAATATGTTCCCATCAAATTCTACAATTCAGTCACTTTCAGAAAATACTATGAATTAGTTAGGACTGCGTTCTGGAGTTATTTCAAATGTCCAGTAAGACCAACCTACCTTGTGATATGAAACAAAGATGACTCAGACTAAAGGTTAAGAGATGCAATCAGATCTGCTCCTAACAAGAAGACTCACAGATCCATTTTATGTTAACAGCAAGTGTCCAAAGGGAAAATAATCAATTCCTTAGTTGCTGAGCACTACGACTGCTTAATGAATGGAGTTCTTGAAGTGACTCTCTCTGTGGAATATTCACTTACAGAGCAATCACAGAACGTTAGAACTGGAATCTCTCCGTCAGTGTTTATAAAAGCAAAACGTGCAGCACTACATCTGTGAGATCACAGGTGACAAATGGGTGCTAGTTTGGAGATGTTAAGTAGTTAACAGCCCCATTCTGCTGTAGTTATACTTTTCCATTCTATAAAAACAAACAAACCCTCCCTGCCACCCCCCAAAAAACCCCATCCTCAAGTTCACACATCTGTTTGATAGCAGAACCTAGACTAAAAGACAATTCTTCCAACTTTCAGACCAGAAACCATTAAATAACTGAACAAGGCAACAGTAAAATTCATTCACTGAACACTGTTCTATACACAGGGATTGAAATTTTTTTAATACTGACCCATAAATATATAATGTTGCAAATCAATATTAGTCTCTCATTTCTTTTTTCTTTCGAATAAGCCAATAGCCTCAAATAAATGGTATACTGGGCAAGACAGACAAGCGAAGCTTACCAACTATTTCTCACAATGTCATAAATCCAGAATGAATTTCTGACATTCTCTTCCCTCTTTTCCTTGTCTTTGCTGAGTCCAGATAAGACATGTATTTCATTCAGTTCTGGATCAATGGTTGCTCTCTGTGTGAATCCTGTCATTGGAACTAAAATTGAAGGAAAAATAAGATGACCTTACTCATATTAGATAGCATATTAGAACTTACACTTGAAGAAATTACATATGCTTATCATATTCCATGTTCACATTCACAATACTTATCTTCTAACAATATATAACATTATTAAACAATGAACAACTGTCCACCGCCTTCTCTCTGCTCTAGAATGTCAACTCCACAAGGGCAGAGGAGGTTCTGTTCACCATTTCGTCCCCAGTGCCTAGAATACTGTCTGGGATATTAAAAAAGCACTGTTCTCAAGTTCACACATCTACCTGATAGCAAAACCTAGACTAAAATACAATTCTCTTGACTTCCGGCCAGAAACCATTAACTGACTGAACAAGAAACTTCTTTCTGAAAGAAAAGATGAATGTCAATGACCAGGTCTGGAGCTAGAGGAAGGAAAGAGGTATATTGCAATTATTTTTATGAAGTAAAAGAATTAGCTAGAAAAGTGTAATGCTTTAATTAACTTATTATCTGGGCCAGCTCTAGTTTAATAGTAAAACATTCAATTCTTGACCTGAAAAGGCAAATTTTGACAAAAAGTAACACACAGGTCTGTCTGATAAAGTCAAAACCACTTAAAATATCTGTCTATGATAAACAATAATTTCCAAATATAAAGAAAACACGACATTTTATTTTCCTGAGTAGCTTGAATGCCCCAGAGTTAATAAGGCTTTATTTTTCTAAGAAATTCATTAAGTAAGTGACACCATGCTACATTATCTAGTAATTTGTAGGATATTGATATACACATATAAATTTTTCTTTATCATTATTTGGAAATAAATATAATTTTATATACAGAAAGCGCATCTTATAGACTGAGTTGCTTCACAGCATAATGCCACAATCGAAGACAATGTCATTGCCTCAAGGTGACATCTGTTTTACCTATGAAGAAATGACCACTCTCAAAGCTAAATAAGCATAGAACTGAAGAAAACTTTTAAATCAACCTAGGACATTATAGCAGAAGATGCCAGTCAATACAGATCTTGATTTTTCTTTTTCTACTTTTGCAAGACCAAAGCATCCACTAATTAATTTTTCCTAGTTTATCTTAAATTCATGCTTCCTCTTATATCCTATTCAATATATTTAGAAAACTTCAAAGGTTATCCAAATCAATCCATAGAACAAATAACTACAATATGTGTATAAGCAAAACATAATACATAATTTGCATGCATAAATACACAATACTTATATTTATACCCACATATATCAACCTAATCTTAATAATCTAGTAGTTATATGAAATGTAGTATTTTCTTAATAACCTTTAGTAAATTTTCTTTTCAAAAATTGTTTTTAGGACCAGTGCTGTAACTTAGTAGGCTAAGCCTCTGCCTTCTCCTCTGGCATCCCATATGGGTGCCGGTTTGTGTACTGGCTGCTCTATTTCTGATCCAGCTCTCTGCTGTGGCCTGGGAAAGCAGAAGAAGATGACCTAAGTGCCTGGGCCCCTGCACCCACGTGGGAGACCTGGAAGCAGCTCCTGGCTTTGTATTGACTCAGCTCCGTCCCTTGCGGCCATGTTGGGAGTCAAACAGTGGATGGAAGACCTTTCTCTCTGTCTTTCCTTCGGTAACTCTACCTCTCGAATAAATAAATACAAATCTTAAAAAAAATAAAAGACAGGCCAGTGCCACAGCTCACTAGGCTAATCCTCCGCCTGTGGCGCTGGCACCCCAGGTTCTAGTTCCGGTTGGGGCGCCGGTTCTGTCCTGGTTGCTCCTCTTCCAGTCCAGCTCTCTGCTGTGACCCGGGAGTGCAGTGGAGGATGGCCCAAGTGCTTGGGCCCTGCACCCCATGGGAGACCAGGAGGAAGCACCTGGCTCCTGGCTTCGGATCGGCGCAGCATGCCTGCCGTAGCAGCCATTTGTGGGGTGAACCAACGGAAGGAGAACCTTTCTGTCTATCTCTCTCTATCACTGTCTAACTCCGCCTGTCAAAAAAAGAAAAAAAGATTAAAAAATTTGGAGGACTATGAAAATGTAACCAGGTATAAAATAACATAAGCCAACGACTTTTACCACTTAAATGTAAAGCCAGGAAGCTGATGCTTCAGAGTGAACTGCTGGCTTCCTGCTCACCCATGTCCCAAGGCAAAAATTGCCTCGTTCCCTACTGCAGCCTGTGTGGCAGAGCAGGATGACCTGGTCAGGCTGGCTCTAATCTTACCACCATCTGTGCACCGCAAAGAGCACTAGGACTTGGCACCAGGCACCAAGGAACTACAGCTGTTTTGTGATTTCACCATACCAGCACCCCCTTCCTTGTAGCCCCTTGATGAGCCCCAAGACTCTCAGCCAGCAAAGTAGCAGTCCTTGACACCTGATGCCATCCATGATCATCTGTCAACAGATTAAATGCTCTGTCTCACCCCAAAACCTTGTCCTCATTATTTTGATTTAGCACCAGGGACAGAGACCAAGATTTTGGTAACAAAATGATGCTAAAGGGAGATTCAAGATGGCTAAATAGTGAGAAACTGCTAGAAGTGAACCAATGGTGTATTTTCATAAGAACTTAGCTTAGGCTAAGTAGAGCCATGATGCCAGGGCCTAGTCCCCCAGCTGCAAAGGGGCTTGGAAAAAAAAAAAATAGGTGAACTGACAAGTTTGCTTAGTAGAGATAAGTAGAATAGTTTCTTGTCTTTATGCCAAGAATTCAGACATGAGATCGAGCAGCAGAGTAGCAAATTTAATGGGGTAGGGACCTCTCCATACAGAATCTGAGAGTGCACAGTTTACATTCAGACTGGGGTTTCTAAGGGAATGGGATCCAGTTCTTCCTGCCATTTGCCCTTCCCTTCCTCCCTCTTTTCTTGGACAAAGGATTTGCTGAGTGTGAATTAGGTAGATCTCCTCCCAAGGTCTTACTACCCAGTGTTACCACTGGATAGCTGCACTTGGCACCAGGCGGAAGTGATTCTCCTTTGGTGATGGTGGGAGAGGTCTTTCCTTGGGGGCAAAGGCTACCGGGTATGGGCACAACTTTGCAGTGTAGAATGCAGGGCTGTTTCTTGGGTGTGCTTCCAAAACCGTCACATTCCTTTTTGAAGAAAGTTTTTTTTCCCTCAGGCCCCACATGTAACCTACCCCTCCCCCATCCTACCTGCCCAGCAACACCCAGAACCATTGTCTCCCACTGCCCTTGCTCTAGGCATCATATTGCATTTAGACTGTGACTCCTAAGGTGCTCAACCAAGGAGGAACTGGGGGAGGGACCCCTGCCTAGCAGGCTTAAAAAGAACTGAATGTATAAGGGAGGTGCCAGTTTCCACCGGCCGTCACCACTCTGGAGACTGAGTTAATAAACGCCTCCTTTCTGCTTCCTTCACGTTTCTGAGTCCATCCTTTGGTTAGGTGGTCTCAGGGGGCACTTATTTTTCCACAGAAGCTACACTACCCTCATCCACAGAAAGACAGCAGAAAAGCAAAGCAAAGACCATGTTCCCAAGGAACTGACAGAAATTTCAGTGGAGAATGGACAGAGGCTCTGCAGCACAGGAAGTGCGAGCCATGTCTGCATCTACACAGGTGGCTCCTGGCTCAGTAGCACCATATTGCCAAGGTCATGTTAGAGGCTGCCACAGACCCCACCACTGGTGGCTGTGACTGATGGAGATTTCAGAGTGCCCACTGGCTTTAAGTCCAGTCTGGGGAACTGCCAGGTGTCTGCGGGACCACTTTGTTCCTTCCCCCCAATAAAGCACCGGACTCAAGTTGCTGTGATGGAGTTGCAGCTGCACTCTGTCCTGAGGCAGGGACTAGCAGCCAGAGGCTGCCAGGATCAGGGACAGGGCAGAGAGCAGACGCCCTGCACTTGTGACAGTGGGAGTTCTGGGCACAGGCCAAAGAGGGTTGAGGTCGGGGTCCCAGGTACTCCCCACGTCTGACTACAGACTTGGCACTCCCGCCATGCTGGGGATGGATCTCAGAGGGGTTGGGAGACATACTGCAGAGTGAGTCTGTGCTCTGGATGCCACAGGTACCTCAGTCGTGTGAGTGGCACTGTGAGTTCACTCTAGACTGTGAATCACTTGGCTCACCCAAGTGCACAGAGAAGGACTGGGACTGCAAACACGCTAGCTGACTCCAACACCCCCTCCACCATGCTCATCTAGGGTGTAACTCTGGACTCTTACTCCAACCACAAACCATGGCCAGAGCTCCCCGGCCCAAGCATCTGGAACTCAAGTGTGGCTTTAAGCACTCTACTAAGCCACAGAGGCACATTTCCAGGAATAAATAAAAAAAATTCAATCAAAAAAGAATAAAAAAAAATTCATCCAGAGGTCATAGTAGAGATTGCTCCAGATATGGGGCGGCACTGTGGCACAGCGGGTTAATGCCCTGGCCTGAAGTGCTGGCATCCCATATGGGCGCCGGTTTGAGACCCAGCTGCTCCACTTCCGATCCAGCTTTCTGCTATGGCCTGGGAAAGCAGTGGAAGATGGCCCAGGACCTTTGACCCCTGCACCCGTGTGAGTGACCTGGAAGAAGCTCCTGGTTCCTGGCTTCAGATCAGCTCAGCTCCAGCCGTTGCAGCCAATTGGGGAGTGAGCCATAGGATGGAAGACCTCTCTCTCTCTCTCTCTCACTCTGACTTTAAAATAAATAAAAAAAATCTTAAAAAAAAAAAAAGAACAAAGAAAACATGACCAAGGAAGGCAATATGACTCACCAAAAGAAGCACAGTAATACATTAATACTGGGCTGTAGAGAAGAGAGAATAACAAAATGCATGAAAAAGAAGTCAAAGAATGATCGCAAGATCACTCAAAAACAGAGAAACAGTTTATATGAAAGAGGAAATCAGGACATGACATGGGTAAGAAATTCTGCAAAGAGACAGAGATGTTGAAAACAAACAAACAAATATTAGAAATGAAGTATTTGGGGCCAGCGCTGTGGCACAGCTGATAAAGCCACCACCTGAAGTGCCAGCATCCCATATGGGCTTCG